CGCATAAGCCTCTCGGACAACTGCATATCTGATAAAACCTCCGAGGCTGATTCTCTGACCGCCCGCCGCCACGCGAACCTTTGGATTGCAATTTACAACCAGACCGAGTAATTTCAACTCGATTTGAGCCGTTGTCTCTACGCTCTAGGCTCAAAACAGGTGAGGATCTAGAATTTTGGTGAACGTGGGGCTACGTCGAATGTTTTTGATAAGAGTTGCTTTCAATTTGTCTCTAAGTACCATAGATATAACGGAATACAGTCTTGAGTATAAAATAACCTTTTAATATGATACTCAAGGTCACGTTCTTGGCTCAAGGTCGCCAAAGATAATAACAATAATGTTTATTGTCCCAAATTCAAATATATGTAATGAAAAAAATCGTTTAGACAAGATAAGAGAAAACCCGCAGCAGTCTGGTCTTGTACGCGGGTATGCCTCATGGTATAGAGAATAACTTGTTTTAACACGGCATAAGGGTTACTTTTAATATTAAACTTGAGATACTACATAAAATTTCAGACAACGTATTACATGTCACAGTAAAAATGGGAATAATTCCAGTTGATCGTGAGATGTTTTTTTTTTTAACTTTTATTACATATTTGGTCTATTTTCAGGATTATTTGTTTGATAGAGCATTATAAAATATGTTCATTATGGAAAAAATCGAGTTGGAAAATTTCTGCTACAAAGACAAGGTATACGCGTGGAAGTGAAGTTGATAGAATCCGACTGTCACAAAAACTGCCCTCCATAAAACCTGTCCATCTCCGTGCAATATCTTGAAAGCTTTTGCCTGTTTCTCTCGCGCAATTGGCTCATCGAAGGCAGAGTAATCACCCTATCCACCTTCTATAAAAACCGATAGTCCTGGATCCCGTGTATACTACTTCTATTCCAAATTGAAATCGCAGGAAGGTTTACACGGCATTTATATGATAGTTTTTTGGGTCGCTTATTTCAACGCAGGGGTTAGTTTGTCTCTATGGGGACATTTGAAGGTCATACCAAGGACATGTTCGAAAGCAGTCAATTAGTTGAGCCCAACATGCGGGGGTTGTTAAAAAAATAGGGTTCAGGCGAAAGGAATTTTTTATTTCAATAAGCGAATTCACCATTGGAAACATTGATCTTTAAGCTATTTTTCTCCATAGTCACCAATTTATTTATGCATTTATCAGTACATTGGCACTGAGGTCGGTTTTCTGAGAAGCATTAGTACTTAATTTGGGCTTTTCATGATAAAAATGTCCTCATATCTCCTTTCAATTTCTTCGGATTCTTCAGCATTTTACATGTGATCCCAGACTATGAACGGACTCACTTCCGAGCAGACCCGCTCGTAACGCAGACTATTCATAACTTAATTGTGACCTGTTAAGTGTTTAATTAGGAAAAGTCGGCTGAAGATAGCACCGTCACAGCGTCGTTGTCTTCACGCCTACGCCCAGAGAAGGTTTTATGGGAGAAATTACCGCGCGCCAGGACCGTAATGGTTATTAATTTTTAGGGACGCTAAGATATTGGATGGTGGTCTATGGGGCAATTTTAGGAAGCTGGTGGGTCTAAAACTTTTTCGGGTGCGATGATATATTCGTTGAATTCTGGAGCAGCCAATAGGCGACCTAGAGCTGCATTCTCGCGGAAACGCATTCCAAGACTGAACGTCAGAGATTTGTAATAGCTTCTTAAACATCTTCACGGTGTTAATTTCTTAGTTCCGCGTCTGTCAAATTGTGCTGCCCCAAATTACTTCAAGGATCCAAATATTTTCATTTTATTTTTTATGCCTTCTTTCTCAACCTTTTCTAACATACTGTAACAAAAACTCCGTTTTATTGTATAATATATAATTTATTAACCACACACTTGTGTATTACACTTTTTATGACTAATTTATTCCAATTTAAAGACCTTGTCGACTAGACTATTGTGCTCCGCGTTACTGCCTCTCGGTCGACTGCCTGCTTCTGCCCTCTGTGCGCGTATTTATCTCCGAATCGACAAATCCAGAAGTGTTCTAGACATAAGGCGAGTCTTCTTAGGAGCCGGTAGATGACGATTCAAGCCCCTGTTCCAACTGGTGTTCCCCAGCGGTCTAACTTTGGTCCACTTTTATTTCCATTGCTTACTAAGGACAAATTTGAAATGTATGCAATTGTTCTGTTGACGTCGTGACGATATATTCGTCTATACGTGATATTCATGATTCTTTGGAGTTACAGATGTAGTTGAATAGTATTCAGAGGAAAGGAAGACTGGCTTAGTAGTTTGCAACTGTCGATGTTTTTTTTCTGGGCACAATTATTTCGCGCCGGCTGCCAGAAAATTCGAATTATAGTAAAATAAGCCATTATAAAAGAAGTGAGATAGGATATAACGTAATAAAAACTCCGCTGGCGGAAAAGTTTAGAATCGCAAAATTAACTAGTATTTTTGGCTGACAGAGTCCATTTTACTTGGCTGGGAATCATAATTGCGTTAAAACTCATCATGCGGCGCACTAGCCGAGGCCCATTAGGCATAAGTAAACATTTTTAAACTGAATCGACCACGAAGGCGAAGCCTATACACCGAGACACAACGATTGTTAGAAGAGTGAGTGATTCTTGGCGGACCTGAAGAGTTCGTTTACTATATCCGGGTGACGAGTTGACAGAGAACTTAAAGGAGCAAGGTTTGTTTGCATTATCGGTAAGAGATGTTGTTCAAATTCAAGTTCTTTATTCGTTCTGTCTGTCTCAAAGACATACCTATAGAACGGGTCATACTTAAATTAGGAAAAAACAAAAGCGAAAAGGAAAACGAAAAACCAGGAACAAAAGCTGAGTAATAAATAAATAACTACATCACTTGAAAAATTCCCATCACGGATTTAGCGTTTGATTTTTTGGAATCAAACAATCTTTATCTTAATTTGTCAGATAGAAAATAAAAACACACGGAAGTATCACTTTTTACTTCTAAATGAAAACCCTGTAAATAAAATTCGTCCATAAACATAGAATCCCACATGTGTATGATTAGGAATTGATACTAATTTAAAGTATTCGATAATAAAAAAAAATATACTAAGTGCGGGATAACACGTGGATAATGCTTATTTTCGACTAAAACTCAAACCGCTGCTATTAAGCATATTGCAATTTATTTCAATTTTATATGTGCTTGCCTCTATAATTCTTCGGTACTATTACAAATCACAACATTGCTATGACTCCTCATGCAGATTCTTCCACAATTCTGGTACCCAAGGATTTCGTGATTTGAACTCAATAAACAGCTCTTGTATAGAGCGTTAAGAGTTGTTACCGTGCAGTTATAATCGAAGCAAAAGGATGACCGGAGGTGCTTTACAGGATTTCCGAAATTGAAGAATCCACGACGACTGGGCTATACGAAGTAATCCAGATTTTAGCAAAACTAATACGATTATACAGCGGAACAGTAGCAAGGACCTTTAGGAAGATGAATTCGCTTCCGTTTCCAGATATATGAACTCAGACCTAATAATTTCCATAATGGGGAGTGGGAGGAAGAGGAGAAGTTTTTTCTGGAAACTGACGGGCCAAACAGCGTGATTTATCGAGTTAAAAGTTCCACTTCTTCCTACCTAAACTGGTAATAACTTTTTTGCAACTTTCAGCTGCCGAACGGGAGGGAACTTCAATCATCCTGACGTGCGTTCGACGTCAATAAAAGATACATCGACAAGAATAAAAAAAAAAAAATAAGTATAAACGCCGGTTTCACGCAGCGATTTCGACGAAAAAGAAATAAATAGATTTCAATAATCTGCTATGAAACCCAAGCAACAATAAATGCACTAACAGAGTATTAAAAAAATTTAGGTCAGAAAATATTCAAATATATACTCATTCAATCGAATGGTGATATCGACAAAGACGTTGACTTTAACCTTGAAGGTGATTTCAAGGTCAAATTGGTTATCTTAAATGAGACCCCGTGCTTTTGTCCCCGGAAACTGGAAGAGGGGAAAATTCTAAGTTTGGATATGTCATCGACCATGACGTTGAGATTGACTTTGAATATCATTTCAAGGTCAACTTGATGTTCTTATATTTGTTCCTATACTTTTGACCCCGGAAATTGAAAGAGGGGAAAATTCTAAATTTGGATTTGTCCTTGACCTTGAAGGTGATTTCACAAACGATGACCTTGATATTTATCTTGAAGGTCATTTAAAAGTAAACTTGATGTTTTTAAATGTGTTCCTATACTTTTCATTCCGGGAATTGAAAGACGGGAAAATTCTAAATTTGGATTTGTCCTTGCCTTGACCCTGATGTTGAAGCTGATTTCGGAATCGAATTGATTCTCTTATACTTTTAACTCCAAAAATCGAAAGAGGCGGAAAGTTTGAATTTCTGAGGTGATTTCACTGACCATGACCTTGATATTTATCTTGAAGGTCATTTAAAAGTTAACCTGATGTTATTAAATGTGTTCCTATACTTTTCATCCCCAGAATTGAAAGAATGGAACATTCTAAATTTGGCTTTGTCCTTGACCTTGACCCTGACCTTGAGGGTGATTTCGGAATCGAATTGATTCTCTTATACTTTTGACCCCAAAAATCGAAAGAGACGGAAAGTTTGTATTTCTGAGGTCGAAAGTATGGGGTCCCATTTAAGGAAATGACCTTCAAGATTAATACCAAGGTTATGGTCAAGGACATCCGAACTTAAAATTATCTGCTTTAAGGCCTAAGGTATAGGTTCCGATTTGAGAAAAAGCTTTGAGATCAAAGTCAAGGTCATATCCAAACTTGAATGAATGATCACCTGTTTTAATTTTTGGGGTCAAAAGTATGGGGTCCCAATTAAGAAAAGTAACTTGACTTTGAAAAGACCTTGAAGATCAATGTCGCCAATTTTGTTTTTCTCGAAAATATCAGAATATTTCTCCCGTCCCGACTGGCTTGTTCCGTCCCTGGATCAATTTGAATTTTTAATTGCACATAGCGTATCCATCCTCATTTCTGTGAGCCAGTGAAAAAATAATAGGTGTAATAAAAAGGTGCATCTAGTCAGTTTATTTTTTGTGAGTGGATTTATGTTACACTCGAAAAATGGCGAACGGGTAAGGTATCCTCTATCCAGAATATTAACATGGCGTTTGCAGGAGATGCATCTAAAAAAAAATGAACCGACTCGGTATTCCTGACGCGTTGATATAAATGTATTTATATTTGATATACATTTTTCGGTACATGAAAGTTGTCACTGTTAAGCATGCCCAGTTAAATGAAATTGACGATTTTTGACATATACTAAGTGACATATAAATCCGAACACCCAGTTTAAATGGTTTTATTTTAATAAAAGTTGGTGAGTGTATTTATCTTACTGTAAATAACAAGTGAAAAATTTTTCAGTCGTATCAGTTGGACATTCCGGTTTTTATACTGCTTTCTTTTAATTCACTAACGCTCTAAAAATGAATAGTTCAGCCGCAGTAAAGAATCAACGTTGGCGGATTTTGGTTCTTGACATCCTTTACGATCGGTTACGATGCCTAGAGTTCGGAGACCTGTACGATTTCGTCAACTTGTGAGTTTGATAGGGGCCGTATAGTGGGACTTCGGGAAGCTGGACTTTCTTTTCGGGCAATTGCAGTTAGAGTGCAAAGAAGTGTAGACACTGTGGTTAGGTGTTGTCAGGCATGGCTTCGAGAAGGCCGTACGCAAAGAGCAAGGGGCACTGGACGCCGCCGTAGAACAACAGACCGTGAGGATCGCCGCCTAAGATTATTGGCCTTAAGGGACCGTTTCTCCACTACCAGGTCTATTGCAAATGAATGGTTTGCAGAACACGGAAGACCTATTGGCATGCGAAGTGTTTACCGACGAATGAGGAATCCACAGTTTTTTGTTGAAAGACATGTTCATCACACTGTTGGAGTTATGGTTTGGGGTGCTATAGCTTATGGTTCCAGGTCACCTTTATTCTTCATCAGAGGTAACATGAACGCGCAGCGTTATTTACACGAAGTTCTAGAACCCCATCTTTTACCCTATCTTGACACCCTGGCAGATCCAACTTTCCAACAAGATAATGCCCGACCACATGTTGCAAGAGTCACAATAGACTTCTTTCAACATAATTATGTCACATTGTTACCATGGCCACCAAGATCTCCCGACTTATCCCCAATTGAGCACGTGTGGGATATGATGGATAGGAGATTGCTCAATTTGCAACGTCCTCCTTACACTCTAGAAGCACTTCGAGAGGAGTTGGTGGTTGCCTGGAATGAGATACCACAGGAGGACATTGACCGCCTGATCAGAAGCATGCCTAGGCGCGTTGGAGAATGCGTAGCACATCAGGGTGCATCCACACATTACTAAAGGTCAAAGGGCTTTAAAGCAGTGCAATCATTTTGAAATTTTTATCATTTACTTATTATGCTTCATTAAGTACTTATACAAAATTTTATTAAAATAAAACCATTTAAACTGGGTGTTCGGATTTATATGTCACTTAGTATATTTGTAAGTGTACCGTTCCATATTTATTACTTATTCAGATAAAAGGGAAGATTGGCATGATATACAGGGCATTTGATGGTTGGGTGTCGAGATATACCCGTTTCACAGTTTTGAAGAAAAATAGAAATGTTGATCACATGTATGCGCATTAACAATGCAGCTAATAGTTTCTGTTATTATATACGTATACATCAATCATTTGGAATTTAAATGCAAGTTTAGCGGAACAGTTAGTAGCTTACAAGTTACCAATGCATGCAACTATCTACGCAGGTTCGAATCCACAAAGCTCCTTCTTTTCAATCTTTTTTTTTAATTTTTCTATTACCCTTTTGATTTTGAGCTTCTGAATGATATTAGCCACGCATATTGAATAACGGTAGTAATGTCGTCTAATCCATATGTATGACTTCGTATCTGCAAAGAATCGTTAAAAGGTATTTGAATTGCAAAGGTAAACTGGAATAATCGTTGATTTAGTGGTGGGTTTTTGCTTTGGGCAAATAAAGTTTCCCAAACGTTCCTTCTTCTTGTAAAAGTAATATTATTTTTTACACAAAAAGTATATACAGAACCTCGACATTATTGTAGACAGATACCACGCTTTCCTCAAACGACAGTTACGGATTTGAAGAATTTCAAGTAGTTGCGTGGATTTTGCCTCGGCTTTTGGCCATTTTTACTATTAGTCGAATCTTTTTACGTCAGGTCTCATTCTGAAAATCTTATTCATTTGACACTTTCAATTAGAATAATCCTATCTGGTCGGACAGACCGATACTTTTTCATCAAAAAGGGGCTTTTTCTATCCTTTCAGACTAGTTGAGGATTATTTGAGAGAGCCACCTCCGAGTGAAGGCTTCTGGTGGAAGCCTAAAACGAAACGACAAAGAAACATAAGTATAGGAACAACGGTATTCCTATTTTTGGTACTGGCTACGTGTTTGTTCTATTTCGCAGTTTCTAGTAAGTAAACGTTATTTTTATTTCTCTTACAACGTTTGAAGTGTTGTTTTCACCTTGCAGATAGGTACAGCGAATGCAAGACGGTAACTTGCAAAGAAGTAGCAACCGAGATCATCAAACGTATTGATAGGAATATACATCCATGTCAGGATTTCTATAGATTTGCTTGCGGAAATTACATTAGAAATGTGGATGTTAGAGATCGTGGACTTTCTATCGAGGAATATGCCAGAGAAGAAACAAGCGTTAAAATAAGGCAAGTAGGCAATATTTATAAGGAAAAATGTCAGATCTGATTTAACAGTTTGGTCACGTCTGCCATTGTTTCGCTGCACACTTGGAAATTTCACAGTGCAATATTTTCAATTTCTTTGTCGGTGCCGATTATGGACAATACATATTTAAGTAGAACAGTGAATTATCTTTGTTGGAATGCGTACTAGCGTCACCCTACCACGCCGCTACTGGTGAGACGACCAGGTATAAAAAACATTATCTGAAGTCACTTGAAACACTGTGAAATACCGGCTGCGTTTTATATATCTATATTTAACACGCTCTGTTGCTGCAAAAATCGCCAAATTTCGCAGCAAATATCCCCCGTATAAGAGATCAAAGGCAGTTTCACCGGTCCACGTGGAGTAAAGCACGCCTGTGCGTGGACATAGCCAATGAGAAAGCGTGTATTTCAGAGCTCCGAGCAAGTGCAGGTGGCTACTGAAAATTGAAACAGTTTAGCCAGTGCCGTGTAGCGGTGAATAAACGTGTTTTCTTTAGTCTGTCCGTGTTTTTTCATAGATTTTATTAGTTTGTGTGTTTTTGACTTTTGAATACTCAGTTTACTTGTTGATTTAATTGTTGTGTTGATTGTTCTTGTGTGTCCTAAATATGGCTCTTTGGAGACCTTGGGAAAATGCTCCAATCCACGAGGAGATGGTTGATGAACCTGTGCAGGCAGAATTCTTTCATAAAGATTTAGAGGAACAGACCCAAAGAGTAATCCTAAATATGTATGATTGTCTGAAAAACGAAAATCCAGATTCCTCGCAAAATCAAATTTTAAACAGAATTTGTATCCTGACAAAAATCAGTCGGTCTACCATTTATCGGGTTATAAAAAGGGGAGATGTAGTCAACCATTCCTTCCACAGAAAGCGCATAGGGCAAAAATTAAAAAGAATAGACGTGGGTTTTCAGGAAGATATTCGTCGTATAATATACGGATTTTATAAGAAAATTTGGTGCCCACGTTGGAAATGATACGGGATAAATTAAAAGATTATCCTGAAGATTTTTACAATTACAAATGCTTAGACTCACTGCACTGTATTGTAAAACTGTGTGGTTTTCAATACAAAAAATTAGATAAAAGAATGGTGATTATGGAGTCGTCTCGAATCGTTGAATTGCGCCAAGAATTTTTGCACAAAGTTAAAATCTATAGAGAGCAGAAAAGAAATCTGATTTACCTGGATGAAACGTGGTATGATATCCATGATGTTGTGCAGTACGGCTGAGTTGACGACAGCAACAAGTGCATTTTAAATGCACCATGCAACCGTGGAAAACGAATCATTATTCTCCATGCTGGCAGTGAAAATGGATTTATACCTAATGCCTTGCTGTTATCTGACAAAAATATCAAAGAATCATGTGCCGACTATCATGAGGACATGACCTCCGACTTATTTGAAAAGTGGATAGAGCAGCAGTTAATACCAAACATTTCCCCAAATTCAGTGATTGTTATGGACAATGCGCCATACCATTCCCGACAGAAAAACAAAATTCCGAATACAGGCACAAAAAAACAAGACATTATTGATTTTATGAAGGATAAGGGAATGGAAATACCACAAAAATCAACCAAAGCCATATTATTGGATCTTATTAAAAGACAAAAATTTTAAAAAGAGTATGTTGTTGACAATCTGCTTCAGCAAAATGGCCATGAAGTAGTACGTCTACCTCCCTATTACTGTATTTTTAACCCGATTGAGTTGGTCTGGGCTGCTTTAAAAAAAAAAAAAGTAAGAAAACATAATCAGACCCCTCAATTAAGTGAATCGCTATTGGACACAATAAGAGATGCAGTATCTCATATTGCTGCCACAGACCTATGGAAGCAGTGTTCTAGGCATATTATTGAAAAAGAAAATGAATATTGTGTTTTGCCTCCTGTAAATCCCGTTGTAATTCCTCTACAAGATGACTCTAGCGACAGCGGCGAAGGCGAGGATGATATATAAATACCTATAATGTAAGTCTTTATATACCTTTTTATATACCTACCTGCTATGTAAATATTTGCCTATGTCAAACGTTGGAATTCTGTAATTTTTCCATTTCTTAACTTTCAGTCAACATATATTAAACTCCCAATATAAGTATTTTTTATCCCAAATCAAAAAAATAAGAAGATAGTAAAATCCATTTATTGTGATATAAAAACATTATTATTATCGTTCTAAATAAATGCCGCACGCCTATGATACGTCATGAAATTACAAAGGACGCGCCGACCAAAGGTTTTTATGCTATTTCAAGTGACTTCAGATACACCATACACGTCGCCTAACCTTAAAGCTTGTAACAGCCGTCGGTCCACGCGCGCCGCACTAGGAATGCAGTCAGTCGTAAAGAGTCAATCGTATGAAGCAGTTGAAGAACAACAGCAGCCAACGCACGCGCGCGAATCACGGAACGCGGAAGCCCGGTATACACCTGTCGCGTATCTACACATTCATGTACAAGTACTCAATAAACTGTTCTGAACCGAAGACCACTGCGAGTTGAATTGCTTTGCTTACCTATCATCAACAACCTCCACACTTGATATTCTTAATATTTGGCAGGATAGCTTTAATAAGCGCTGGAAAATACTTTTGACTAATTTATCCATAGATTGTACTGCGTACTTGGAGTATTAAAAAAAATCAGTACGGGCAGTGAAAATTTTCTAGAACAACTATGACTGCCCACGTTTTCTCAGTGCAGTGTGGTAGATTTACAGACATTGGTAATCGATGTCTCCCAAGCAATCGTAACAGATATACAGGAAACTGTACTAGATTATTAATTTCAATATACAGTATCCTATATTTTGAGGTATGGGTTATACAAGAGATATCGCTTACACTGATGATGCCTAATGCTTAATGTCGTATTTGAACCGTCCTGTATATATAATCTTACCCGTAGAAAATAAATAGTCAACACTTATGTCGAGCAGTGTATCAAATAATGTCGCTGTATATAAAGGAAAGAAGTCAATAAACATCGAATCCGTTGAACAATGCAAAGAGGACGTAAAAAGAAACAAAACAGGGGAGTTCGACGGGAAGGGCGTAAATCAGAAACTCAAATCTCCATTTGGCTCTAAAAGGACGTTACGTGCACTCGATTGGCCCCTTCATGGCAAGTGGGGGAATTAATCGCCGAGGACGTTTTTTACAAAAGATTACAGAACCTCATTTTGCCCTAATGGACTCGCTACAGGCTCAGGCCATCCACAGACGCGGCGATTTTTCCTTTTCGTTTTCGGGCGCGTTGATTGAAAGTTGATGAGCCAGTTCGAGATAGCATCTTCAAACTGATTATTTTGTATTGTTAATCCGGTTGCAGGGCGAGGGTAACACATTTTCTCAAAATTCGATCGAACCGTTTTACTTCCTACGCTACTAGCCAGGATGTACTGTCACGGAGTTGCGCGATGATTCAAAAAACATACAGAGCGCTCATCTGAAAGCTTCCCACCACGCATTTATCAAAACCGCTGACTAAAAGAAGGTCTTTCGAAGTCCTCTATTTCTCAAAATTGGTAGATTCGTTTTCAAGAAAATTAGACAAATCTTTATAGAAGAGAAAAACACAAGAAAATATCACTTCTTATTTCAATAAGTGTTCAAAATGTTGCCCGTTATTGACCAAACAATGATTTAGGCGATGTTCAAATTCCTGACGGACATTTTCAAAAACATGCTGTGGGATATCGTGGCAGCCTTCGATGATGAGCTGATGAAGTTCATCCGAGTTTTCAGGTTGGGGAGTAAACACAATAGATTTTAACTGAACCATACAAACAAGTCTAATGGCGTCAAATCAGGAGATCAAGCAGGCCATTCTACTCGTATATGCCGTCTTCGCTGTATCCATTTATCTGGAAACTCGTCGTCTAGCCATTGCCGAACCGGAAGAACATAGTGAGGAGGAGCGGCGTCTTGTTGGAAATATATTTCAGCGTCATCAAGTATAGGGTTACCATCCTCTTCAATGGTTTCACTGATAAGCGGATTGATGTTCTTTTTTAACATATCCAAATAAATGTCTCCATTAATAAACAATGGCTGCTCATATATACTAAGTGACATATAAATCCGAACACCCAGTTTAAATGGTTTTATTTTAATAAAATTTTGTATAAGTACTTAATGAAGCATAATAAGTAAATGATAAAAATTTCAAAATGATTGCACTGCTTTAAAGCCCTTTGACCTTTAATAATGTGTGGATGCACCCTGATGTGCTACGCATTCTCCAACGCGCCTAGGCATGATTCTGATCAGGTGGTCAATGTCCTCCTGTGGTATCTCATTCCAGACAACCACCAACTCCTCTCGAAGTGCTTCTAGAGTCTGAGGAGGACGTTGCAAATTGAGCAATCTCCTACCCATCATATCGCACACGTGCTCAATTGGGGATAAGTCGGGAGATCTTGGTAGCCATGGTAACAATGTGACATCATTATGTTGAAAGAAGTCTATTGTGACTCTTGCAACATGTGGTCGGGCATTATCTTGTTGGAAAGTTGGATCTGCCAGGGTGTCAAGATAGGGTAAAAGATGGGGTTCTAGAACTTCGTGGATATAACGCTGCGCGTTCATGTTACCTCTGATCAAGATTAAAGGTGACCTGGAACCATAAGCTATAGCACCCCAAACCATAACTCCAACAGTGTGATGAACATGTCCTTCAACAAAAAACTGTGGATTCCTCCTTTCATCACGTCGCCTTCTAACCCTGGCACGACCATCGTGCATGCCTAAACAAAATCGAGACTCGTCACTAAAGACAATACTGTTCCATTCCTGATCCCAGAGTGACCGTTGTCTGCACCACTCAAGGCGATTACGTCGGTGTTCTCGAGTTAAAGGGAGGACCCAGTGTGGCCGGTATGAAAACAAGCCATAACTTCTCATTCGTCGGTAAACACTTCGCATGCCAATAGGTCTTCCGTGTTCTGCAAACCATTCATTTTTCACGGTCTGTTGTTCTACGGCGGCGTCCAGTGCCCCTTGCTCTTTGCGTACGGCCTTCTCGAAGCCATGCCTGACAACACCTAACCACAGTGTCTACACTTCTTTGCACTCCAACTGCAATTGCCCGAAAGAAAGTCCAGCTTCTCGAAGTCCCACTATACGGCCCCTATCAAACCCACTAAGTTGACGAAATCGTACAGGTCTCCGTACTCTAGGCATCGTAACCGATCGTAAAGGATGTCAAGAACCAAAATTCGCCAACGTTGATTCTTTACTGCGGCTGAAATATTCATTTTTAGAGCTTTAGTGCATTAAAAAAAAGCAGTATAAAAACCGGAATGTCCAACTGATAAGGCTGAAAATTTTTTCACTTGTTATTTACAGTAAGATAAATACATTTACCAACTTTTATTAAAATAAAACCATTTAAACTGGGTGTTCGGATTTATATGTGACTTAGTATATTAAAGGTTCGGGAGTATAAAAGCATGAGGATTTGCATTGCTCCAATACCTACATTTATGCTTATTAACATACCCATTTAGATAAAATGTGCATTCGTCACTGAAGCAGATATTCTTTACATGAATCGTATTATCATTAATCGTCGCAGTCATTTGATCACAAAACTCAACTTGCTTATCGAAACTATATTCGGTTAATTCTTGCAATATCTTCATTTTGAATGGATGAAATTTATGGAGTTTAGTGTGTACAGAGCCTAATGAAATACAGTCGCACCAACAATTTTGCATGACCCAAAACTTCAAATTGAGCGGATTCATCCAAAACTCTCCGATGTTCACGTTTTTTATTTGCAGCAGATCCAGTTAGGTCCAAAACATGCCTATCATTTCCACTCTTTCGGCCAGTGTGTAAACTACTTTGGAAGTAAAATCTGAATCAATAAATTGATTTTAATTATCCCAAGATTGTCACAAATGTAACTGACAGCAAATTAAATTCTTTCTTTCCCTTAACAACAAATAATTAAGCAGGTATAACAATTAATACAGTTCTCCCAGATATCTGTGTTGATGCAAAGGTGCGGAACACAACAACAACAAACTAAGAAAAATAACGATTTTTTTCAATTTACTTCGGTGTAACAAATGCTCGCTCCATATAAGCATGCCTTACTCGATCCATCTGTCGGCGCTTCAGATGGTTTGGCCAACACGCGAAAAAACGTGTAAGGAAATGATATGGAAAAAATCGAAGGTACTCCAAGGACAATCGCGGACGCGTGGCGAGAAGGGAGACGGAAGCGCGGGAAGGAGGGGGGAAGGGAAATGTCCTTTATTGGCACTAAATTGAAATTCAGCAATCAGCCTCTAATGGAAGCAATTATATGGAGAAGTGACAGCCTCAGCTTTTTCGGTCACCGGGACACAGATGTTCCTGAAAGGCGGCCGTCAATGGCATTGGAGTTTTTTAAAGTTGAAAGGTCTCGTTCCGCTCTCAAAGAATAAATGATTGAGAAGAGAGTCGGCCCAATTTGCAGGCGAAAACCGCGCAAAGTGGACACTCCGGTAGAGGATTTTTTTGTCATAAGTTGGGACTTTCCTTTCCAGAAACAACTACGTTTATAATAACAAAGGTAATATGAGGTGAAACAACAGCGGAAAAGTAGGAAAATATATCATTTCACGGGCAAGCATCGGATAAATTAACACACTAAACATTTCGTTTCGCACCAAACAAAAAAGAAATCATGAACGATCTTGAATAACGATCTGCATGTATTCGCGAAGCCTCGGTAGCATCTTGAAGACTCTCACCGTAAATTAAAATGAACAATTATTGTTGAATGAGCGTGTCATTTCCGTATTACACTTGCAGAAGTCTATTGGAAGAAGACCTAACGCCAAACAACCCAAAGCTCTTAACGTTAGCAAAAAAGCTGTACCGTTCTTGTATGGACGAGAGTGCCATAGAAACTCAAGGGACGAAAGAGATCTTCCAGATCTTCAAATACATTGGCGGATGGCCAGCCGTGGAAAGAGGACCTTGGACAGAAGAAAACTACAACTGGGTGGAGGCTATACATCGGTTGAGAAAGCTAGGCATAGACTATGACGTCTTTTTCAGAGTTTCGGTTGCGAAGGATAGGCACAATGATATGAAGTACATTTTTGGTGTGAGTAGACCATAGCTTTATTCTTGCATTCAAGAGAGTAACCGGAGGCTTATGGTGATCTGAGAAGATTTAACTAACTGCATGCTTGACCTTGATCATGTCCTTCTAAGGTCTATTTTCTATTAAATCAAGGGCACATCTAAACGATAATCTTCCATTTCCGGCGCCAAAAATATAGTCCCGTTTGAAAAGTTGGACTTGATCTTAGTCAAGGTCAAGGTCAAATAAATTTCTTGGAGATCAAGGACTCATCTGAACGATAATCTCCCACTCTTTACAGAACATACAGTCGCGTTTGAAGAAATGGACTTGATCTCGAAATAATCTTGAACTTCAAAGTCAAGGCAGAAATTTTCTGGAGACCAAGGGATCTTCTGAACGAGAATCTTCGACTTCAATTTCAAGGTCAAGGTCAAATTTTCTGAGGACAACTACTATTCTGAACGTTAAGCTTTGACTTTATCCATTTCCGGCGACAGAAATGTTTGAAAAATTGGACTTGATCTGGAATTGAAGACGTTTTCGGTATTTCAGTAACTAAGGTCTCATTTTGGAAGAAGATCGGTAGGCTTGGCAACACTGGCAGTACATTTTTCGTATACTCAGTTTTACAACCTTTCAGGCTCCCCACGTATCTCAAAGCAAATCTTCTTTATAGTATTTCTGCTACCCTTAAATAAGGTCTTAATTCAGCAACCATTTAACAAAATTGGATTTAACTTAGCCGGTCCACTTTGACAACCCGCTGAGGAAAATCATTAATTCTGTGGAAGCATTTCACAAAGAAAACTCGACAAAGCTAATTTGAGCATCTTAATCATTCCTCATATAAATACATTTATATTCCTCGAGACTCTCATCGGTCTATATTGTATGACTTCTTTCATTGTAAGAGCAGATGTATTCTTGGAGAGGTATAGACAAAAATGATGTATACAGGATGATTCCGAAAGCACGGGCAAGATTTCTAAGGTGGACAGTAGGTCTGAAAATTACAAATACGTTCCTATAAAGCAGTATATTTCGAATAAAAAACTGACCATTGTAATTCGAGATTATTTCCAGATTAATTAATTACAATTTATCTGACGCTAATGAATTACAATGTTTTATGCTAAACATGGACGAAATGAAAAATTATTGTTTAGATGATCTTAAAAAAATTGACCTTGTCCTTGAAATTTAAGTTTGTTTCAAGATCAAGTTCAGTTTTTCAAACGCGACACCTGAAATGGACAGGGTGCAAGATTCTCATTAAGATGAGTCCTTGGTCTAAAAAATAATCTTGACATTGAGATTCAACATTATTTCAAGGTCAAGTCCAGCTTTTGAAACGCGGCTCTATATTTTTGCGCCGGAAATCGACAGTTTCAAGGATTATCGTTCATATGAATCCTTGTACTCCAGAAAATTTGACTTTGACCTTGAAATTCAAGATTATTTCAAGATCAAGTCCAGTTTTTCAAATGCGACTCTGCCTTTTGACGTCAGAAATGGACCGAGTGGAAGATTATCGTTCATATGATCCTCGTACTTCAGGAAATGTGACCTTGACCTTTGAGTTCAAGATTATTTCAAGGATTATTACTCGTTCAGACGAGTCCCTGATCTAAAAAAATGACTGTGACTTTCATATTCAAGATTACTCCAAGGTCAAGTCCAACTTTTGGAACGCGAACTGCAGAACATTTGACCTTGACCTTGAAATTCAAGATTATTTCAAGATAAAGTCCAATTTTTTAACCGCGGCTGCATGTTCGATGTCGGAAATAGATAGAGTGTAAGATTATCATTCAGATGAGTCCTTGGCCTAAAAAAATGACCTTGACCATAATATTCAAGACTATTACAAGGTCAAGTCCAATCTTTGAAACTCTGCTCTATATTTTTGCCAGGGAGTTGGTATAGTGGAAGATTATCGTTCAGATGTGTGCTTGGTCTCCAGAAAATTTGGCATTGACCTTGAAATTCAAGGTTTATTTCAAGTTCAAGTCCAGTTTTTCACACGCGGCTCTATATTTTCGATGCCGGAAAGCGACAGATTCGAAAAGATTCTCGTTCATACGAATCGTTGTACTACAGAAATTTTGACCTTGACCTTGAAATTCAAGATTATTTCAAAATAAAGTCCAGTTTTTTACACACGCCTTTTTATGTTTTTGACGCCGGAAATTGACAGATGGGTACCGCTCATATGGATCCATGTACTCCAGAAAATTTGACCTTGACCTTGAAATTCAATTTTATTTCAAGATCAACTTTAATTTTTCCGGAAACGTATAGAGTGCAATATTCAGGTTCAGATAAGTCCCTGATCTAAAAAAATGACCTTGACCTTGATATTTAAGATTACTCCAACTTTTGTAACACGATTCTATGTTTTTGCGCCGGAAGTGGATATATTGGAAGATTATCGTTCAGATGCGTACGTGATCTACAGAAAATTTGACCTTGACCTTGGAATTCAAGTCATTTCAAGATCAAGTTCAATTTTTCAAATGTGCCACCGGAGATGGATAGAGTGTAAGATTCTCATTCAGACGAGTCTTTGGTCTGAAAAATGACCTTGACCTTAAGATTCTAGACTGTTTTAAGGTCAAGTCCAACTTTTGAAACGTGATTGGATGTCTGGCAGAAGAAATGGATAAAGTGGAAGATTATCGTTTAAATCAGTCTTTGCTCTCCAAAAAAATTGACCTTGACTATAAAGTAGTATCAGTAGATATCTTATACTGCTACTAGAAGTATTAGGGAGGCAAAACCTGACAACTACACTACTACATCTTTGAGCCTTATTGTCGGCCCCGAAGTGCCTACAATGCACTACTCCACAAGCCACCTACTGTCAAATGATTATTGAATAAACCAGCTCCATCAATGTGATGTACTCGTGTTGATATTGCACCCATCTGGTGCATTACATAGGCAGCACACAACACTACATCAATGGCTCTGAATTAATTCTCCCTAGATATCTTATACTATCGTAACGAGAAAGTAAAATATGTTCGTCTGCCTTGTCTGATGTACAATAATCGGTGGTTTCAGATTCACGATATGTCGTACAGTCCTTCAGACCTTAGCCAAGCTGACAGAAAACTCTATCTAAACTACATGGTTGACATAGCTACGATGTTTGGGGCAAACAGATACACAGCAACGCAACATTCTGAAGAAGTACTCAACCTTTTTCTGGTACTGGCAAGCGTGAGTATCAATAACAATTATACAGGCTAAGTGCATTAGATAAAAATCGAATTATATGTTTCCTAACGAAAAACGTTGCAAGAAACAGGTGTAAGGTTTGAAAAGAGTCATCTACTGGTGACCTTGAACGTGTCCTTGGCTATAACGTTCAAGGTCATTTGGGGGAGTCCAAAAGCTATGAGGAAATGTTGCAAAGTTGCAAGGTTTAGAAAAGATCATCCAAGTGGTGACCTTGATCGTGACCTTAGCCACGACATTAAAGGTTTTACTATGATCGAGGATTTAACGGGATGTGACACTACTGTTCTGAAAGCAAGATTAGGGGTACATCATTTAAATGTATTTAACCTTAAATGACCTTGAAGATCATAGAGAAGGTGACGGTAGGATAGCAACTGATATTTGAACTTGAAACAGGCCACCGTGGTGTTAATAACATCCTGTCAGTAAGCAGTAATTCAAACATACAGGTACGTGGTTTTATTTAGTGACCAGAGGAACATTGAAGATTATAAGTACTAAGGTGACAGATTCATACCAAAAATTATATGACTCCAGGTGGTAACTATAAATCTGAAACCCTAGACGGTTGTACTAGTGGGTTAGGATTGTGCTGTTACTGATCTGGACATTCTAATATACTATGACCCGTTACTATAGCTACAAAGTTTCTAATGACTTCTCTATTTTATTTCACCTCGAACTGTAACTTCTAAAAAAAATTATATTTAGTCAATTTTCTTGACTCCATTTACGCACCAGGTTTCCCAGACTATCACGCGGCATGCGATGCGATATGTCTCAAAGAGAAAAGGCGTGGAGGGAACGCGTACCTCTTGGGCATTCCCGGAAAGAACGAAAGACGAATGGCTGGCTTTGTGTGTTTCAAAGCGTCATGGAAATATGAAAATACTCACTTGGATGCCCGATGCTCCTTTCATAGATTTATCATATAGGTAGCCTTATATGCATGAAGATGTATACGGGATGTTCCAAGAACTAAGGATTTTCTGAATCAGAGAAACCTAAAATGCTATCGCTTCCCAGAGAACGAGAGAGAAATGAGCGCAAGATATGCATTGTAATTGACGGGTTCATTCCAAAATGTCAACGAGGGAGTTCCGCAGGGATCGGTTATAGCTCTGACATTGTTTCTATTACATATCAATGATCTCATTTCCTGTACGATCAATTCGATCTACAGCTTTGCCGATGTTAGGACCCTACATGCGGTGTCCCTCAAGGATCTAATTTGGGACCTCTGTTTTTGATATGTCTTTTAATGATATTTATGAGGTCATCGATGTTGATTATTTTATAGGTTTGTGATGACGACATGAAACTTTTCTGTAGTATCTCTAGCGTTGAAGATGGCCATCGCTTACAATCCATTACTGGCTGGTACGATCGCTCCCTTGTCCCTAGGGTGTCCCAGCTCTGCTAACCTTAGGCAGTTTGAAAATCAGTATAACAAAAGTATCTTCAAGTTGGTATTCAGGTTTATGCGTTTGGTATAAAGACTATGTTAGCATTAAGCATTTTCAACGATATCCTTACATTTTTCTTGAAATATGTCCCATAAATAATGTAGTAATACGAAGATACAGTATAACCTTAATCAAACATTTTTTCAGATATCGAAAAGCTCTGTTACAAATAACAGAACGAACATGTACGAAAAATACTCAATATCGGAGCTACAATATCACTACGAGTACTTAAACTGGGCTCAATACATCAAAGGGATTGTAGGTGATCTAGTCCCGATAAGGTTTGAAGATGAAGTGGTCCTAACTGATCCAGATTACTTGATCCAGCTGGAGAAGTTATTGAGCAGAACACCAAAAAGGTAGTAATAGTAGATGGTTATGTCAGCCTGTAACAGTGGTCGTCAACTTAGATGAAATTATACACAGTTGTATGCTAAATACGACATAAAACCGAATATTTATCTTTACTTAGTGAAGGCCAGATACATTTTGTATTTGAGACGATTTTGAAGCTAAATCATTTTGAAAGGCCTTCACTTCCCTTTCTGTGGCAGAGATGTCTTCTGCGTAATAGAGGTTGCAAATTTTTGGATATCAATCTTGAGACTATTTCTACATGATATTTACTGTCATATGGTTCTACTTGACGTTGAGACATCTTTTCTGAAAGAACACGAAAATGCCTGGTATCGTCATCGATTAGGTTTTGTTTCCAAAACTCAAGCTTTTTGATAAACGAATTTATATCAGAAATCATTTCTGATAGTTCTTTGTCTCTTGCCTGAAGCTGAAAATTAGATTCATTTAATTTTTCTGTAATATCCACAAGAAAACCAAACTCTCTAAGCCGGATTGGATTTTCTAGTTCCTGAATCGGTTCATCACATTGTTTGAAAAATTGAACTGTGGCAGACATGATATCAATAAAACGTTTCGGTATTCGTCCCCTACTTAACCTTCAGACTTCAGAGTGAAGAAGTATTGACAGTCAATTTAATCGGCCAAGGTTTTGAATAATCTTCTTTGTAACGCTTGAGCTCTGATCTTGTTCACAATTTTTGACTACCAATTTCATAAAGTTTAGTCTTTGAAAATGTCCACATAATGCTGGCTGATGGACAATGCAGTGGTAACAGGGAAATTTCGGAAAAATATTTTTCTTCCTATTTCGAATAGAAATGGTATGTCTTCATCTTCTTGCTACCGCTCATAATGTTTTTAATTGTAGGCCAACCTTAACCCAACCGCTGGGCTTTGTGTCGTTCAGTTTCAAACTGAGCGCACTGTCGCCGCGCCTTGCGTACTTATTCCTTTCAAAGTAATCAAGATCGTTCTCGAACAGATCGCTCATCGCGGTGTTGCCGCTGCTTGTGTTTATTATGAAAATTTACGAAATTTACGGAAGCTTCCATGATTTTTACACGTTTTTAAAATACGTTGTGATCCACCAGAATTGCCTTTGCTAGCTACCGGTAGCTCGCGATCGCCGGGTTGGCGACCACTGGCCTATAATGGCAATTGTCACAGCTTACTATGAAGTGCAAATCTTGAATCATCCCTTAAACGTTCCTCTAGCGTTACAGTTTATTTAACATCCAAGGAGGGATTTCTCAAATAACACTCAAACCTCAAGGACCGTTTATAACTGTGACCTTATGTTTTTAGCACACAATATACTTCAATACCCGGTGAAAAATAGGATAACCCTTATACTATCCCACCTATCGGGAATAAACTCTCTAACCAAGGGTGTTTTTTTTCAGGACCCTCGCAAATTTTATAGCTTGGCATACGGTCCAGTACCTAATAAATTTCCTGCCAACGAGGATCCTCGACAAGGCGTACGACTTTCTGGCGCGGTTCAACGCCGGTCACGCAATCAAACCGTTCAGGTGGAAAATGTGCGTGAAAACGGTCGAAGACAGGTATGTTTTTTATCGTATTACGAGGGCTCTTTCAAAAATAGAGTTCTCAACACTGCAACTTTGAATCGAGTGTTGCTAGGCGAAATATGGCAACACCGCCGTGTTTGTCCGATCCCAATAAGAAGCGCTCAGAGCTGGCCTGACAGTCAGGCGCGAAATTTGTGCGATCATCGGATTTTTGTTATTATTATTATTTATCACTTGGCGTTCCCTTTCCTTGGGTAGAGATCACTTTTCTTACCGAGAATAAACCATACTACTAAGGCAGGTAAGTTTTGTTTTCAAGTTACTGTCTTTCGTACAATGTGCGCTGTTTCAAGTATTACCGTTTTTTGTAAGTTTTTCTGGTTGTGCTCTCCAGAAACATCTATCTTTTCTGATATGATTTTTGTTACGTCACCAGTTACACCTATTATGACCGGTATTATTTTTGCCTTCATATCCCACATTCGTCGTATCTCATTGGATTTGTTTTTATTATTATTATTATCATCTTGCGCTAAAATACTCTCCATCGTGGCAACTTTTGCTTTACTCGTTTTCTTTGTTGTTCCTTCTTTCGTTTCAACTTTTTTTTTACTTCCTATGCCAAAACATATTTTTATTCTGAATTTTATGATCCTTAAATGTATCACCAACCTTCAATTTGAGTAACTCCTTCTATGGTGGTTCTCTGAATGTTTCGTCAAGTAGATTTCTCCGCTGGTAAGTTTTTTTTTGAGAGTCAGGCATTTTACTACAGATCGGATTGTGTATAAATATGAATAGAAATCCTCAAGGACATCACATTTGAATGTAACAGATTGAAGGTATCAAATCAAACCGAATAAAGCCATCCATCAGTTCAAACGCCACTAAATGTACAAAACAGAATTCCGGAGATAGAACGGAACGCAAGACTAAGGAGGATCAAAAAAAAAACATATATCACCGTTTACAAGCGTATTTGAGCTAATATCCGCAAAGATTTATAAGTATGCCAAGCATAAAAACCCTTAAATCAACAGATTATTAAAATATATGCGACAACCTTCGGTATAAAGATGTATTATTCAACATTTATATTCTAATACATTCCACTTTTCCGTTTATGTCTCTTATGAGAACAAAAAGGGAAAGAAACAAAGTTTGTGCGAAGGTTGACGTTAGTCCAGTTCTTTTAATGCTGACGGTACCCACCTGTTCGATATTACGAACCACCGTTGGATTGTAATTTTGTGTAATTTTGGCAAATTATTTATGAGCAAGTTTTTTCTCTAAATTTCAACATGGGCTTGTTTTTAATTTAGCTTGTCATACCCAATTTGTTGCCAAGACGCTGGATCATCTTGATGTAATCTATACAGACATACAAAAAGCCTTGGACGAAATCGGCCATTGCTTATTACTGCATAAATTACCAAACCTTGGATTTTCTAACAATCTATTCTCGCTCTTCCAGTCATATACTAAGTGACGTTTAAATCCGAACACCCAGTTTAAATGGTTTTATCTTAATAATAGTTGGTGAATGTATTTATAAATAACAAGTGAAAAAATTTTCAGCCTTATCAGTTGGACATTCCGGTTTTTATACTGCTTTTTTTTAATTCACTAACGCTCTAAAAATGAATATTTCAGCCGCAGTAAAGAATCAACGTTGGCGGATTTTGGTTCTTGACATCCTTTACGATTGGTTACGATGCCTAGAGTACGGAGACCTGTACGATTTCGTCAACTTAGTGAGTTTGTTTCGTTCGGGCAATTGCAGTTAGAGGGCAAATAAGTGTAGACACTGTGGTTAGGTGTTATCAGGCATGGCTTCGAGAAGGCCGTACGCAAAGAGCAAGGGGCACTGGACGCCGCCGTAGAACAACAGACCGTGAAGATCGCCGCCTAAGATTATTGGCCTTAAGGGACCGTTTCTCCAGTACCAGGTCCATTGCAAATGAATGGTTTGCAGAACACGGAAGACCTATTGGCATGCGAAGTGTTTACCGACGAATGAGAAGATTTGGCTTGTTTTCATACCGGCCACACTGGGTCCTCCCTTTAACTCGAGAACACCGACGTAATCGCCTTGAGTGGTGCAGACAACGGTCACTCTGGGATCAGGAATGGAACAGTATTGTCTTTAGTGACGAGTCTCGATTTTGTTTAGGCATGCACGATGGTCGTGCCAGGGTTAGAAGGCGACGTGGTGAAAGGAGGAATCCACAGTTTTTTGTTGAAAGACATGTTCTTCACACTGTTGGAGTTATAGTTTGGGGTGCTATAGCTTATGGTTCCAGGTCACCTTTAATCTTCATCAGAGGTAACATGAACGCGCAGCGTTATATCCACGAAGTTCTAGAACCCCATCTTTTACCCTATCTTGACACCCTGGCAGATCCAACTTTCCAACAAGATAATGCCCGACCACATGTTGCAAGAGTCATAATAGACTTCTTTCAATATAATGATGTCACATTGTTACCATGGCCACCAAGATCTCCCGACTTATCCTCAATTGAGCACGTGTGGGATATGATGGGTAGGAGATTGCTCAATTTGCAACGTCCTCCTCAGACTCTAGAAGCACTTCGAGAGGAGTTGGTGGTTGCCTGGAATGAGATACCACAGGAGGACATTGACCATCTGATCAGAAGCATGCCTAGGTGCGTTGGAGAATGCGTAGCACATCAGGGTGCATCCACACATTATTAAAGGTCAAAGGGCTTTAAAGCAGTGCAATCATTTTGAAATTTTTATCATTTACTTATTATGCTTCATTAAGTACTTATACAAAATTTTATTAAAATAAAACCATTTAAACTGGGTGTTCGGATTTATATGCCACTTAGTATATTTTTCGAACATAGCACTGTTTGTGGAATATGGTAGCTTCAAGTCTAGTAACTACATAGCTACTCCAGGAGTTCCCCAAGGGTCTAACTTGGGACCTTTATTATGTTTAATCTTTATTAACGATATGTCGCTTGAGATTAAACGTCATCATTTATTTTTCGCTGACGATTTAAAAATGTATTATAGAATCGTAAGTTTTCTTCAAAATCATCACACTAAACGTGTCAAAAGTTTTAACATATTGTAGGAAACAAAATCTTATGCTGTACGATGACTGCAGTATTAATCAGTCTTGCATTAACTTGGCCACTGTTTGCACCCCATTCTTAGGCACAGGCACAGCAATTTTTGCACAACTACTAGTCTTCATTTTTATATGTTATAACAATCGGTAGATGTCCTTCTTTAGTAGTAGTTCCACTACCTCGCTTTGGAAAGAAGCTTTATAGTTTCTGCGTGCTCCTTTCGCTTTTCGGTACGAATTCTTTGAAAGGAGGACTTGCTCTTAGAAAACTCGTAAGTGTCATGTCCACGTTTCTCAATAGTTGCTACAATAATCGAGAAAAACATTTATTATACCTAACCGACACCTATCTATCGTTTCTTTGTTCCTAGGTTGTCGAAATTGTAGAGCAATCCGCCTGTGAAGTTTTCACCCAGTTTAGATAATCTTATACAAGGTGTCCGCAAAGTTGGGGTTTTCCTTTTCAGAAACAACTACCCTTGAAATAACAAAGGTAATGCGTAGTGAAACGAGGACGAAAAAGTAAAAAAAAATAAAGGAAAAAGTACTCACTTTCCAGTTGACGAGAAGGGCTAAGTACGTATCTGCCCGAAATCATACCGCTCCAACAGAAAATGAAATCAGCTGATGCGCTACCGAGCAGACGCAGGCAAACAAGGAAGGCAAAATGTTGCGTAAAAAGTCTAGGTATTGCATCTCGTCCAATCGATTTGGGAGAATAAATGGTCCAATGGGCATACCGTTCACCATGCCAGCCCAAACATTCACCGAAAATGTTTGTTGAAAATGTGCCCGACGGACAGCGTGCGGATTTTCTACTGACCAAACATGAGTGTTGCGAAAATTATTCACCCTATTACGCGTGAACGTAGATTCGTCTGTCACCAATATGCACTTCAAAAAGTCCGGATTATTGTCATGTTGATGCAACAACCACTCACAAAACCGCACTCTTGCTGGGGCTTGTACACGTTGGACGTGAAACGGATACACGCAGCGTTTGCCACACTTTAGTTTTTGATACTTGCACTTCTCTAACCACGTCTCTAGTGCTTGTTGAGGGGTTCTCGTCTACGCGATTATCTCTACACGCGTGACCGTAACCGTCGGTTGAAGGTTGCATACTGACCTGACACACTGACCCCGACCCAGTTCTGTCGTCGGGTTGAGCCAGTGATCTTGTACCAGTCGGTGATGTCGCGGCTACAGGACGGTATTCAGATATTTTTGATGTTGCAGAGCCCTTTATCTCGGTTCCCTTAAGACATTGGTGTATATGGTACTAAGAAAAATTGCTTATGTTTTCAAGATCTACACGTCGTGTAAAGGAAAACCCCAACTTTGCGGACACCCTGTATAGAAACAAGGTGTCTTAAAACCGTTTTAGTATTAGCCTGAGCAGAAAAAATTGTTCTTCCTCACCGTACTATCGAGTAAAGAAGGGAAAATATGTTAGTTCGGTGCTGTATTCAAATGAACTCCTACCGCAATAAATACCATCAGGAACGTTATGGGACTCCAAAGTGGACAATGGATTATTTAAATACATGCTGGTATTTTTAGGATCATGCAAAGAGCTGTAAATGAAATGAAATTGCTTGAACGTACCGGACAATGCCATTCCTCAGAAATCTGCATGACCATTTCTCTTAAGAAAAGTCGTTTTCGGCATTCCACGATGTTTATAGCGCATACCATGCATTTTGTACAAGAATACTTAGGTAGTGCCAATGCTCCTGCACGTTCCTGCTTCTTATTCAGTCAATCTAAATTTATTTATCTTACTAAACAGTTATTTTGTCTAGAAAAAAATTACAATACACAGCGCCTCAAGGCCATCTACATAATGCGTGTCTGCTTTTTGCCTAAGTCATTTTCCATTGGGATCTCCAAAAGTGAGTACTATCAATTTATTTGTGCCTCATATCTGACAGGAACGATCTTGTTCTGTTTGTGCGATGGTCAAAAGGCAGCTATTATCAGATCTGCCTTGCCTGCGTGACTTTAAAAAGTCTCCTTCACCTGTGAGGGGGGGTTGCTAGGGGCTAAGAAATTCCACCTCCCGTCCCTGTGTTGTCCCTTCCTTTGATACCCAGGCTGCCGAAGGGCCAAGCTGATAGGTAGGTTTGAGATCAGTTGTTCCTGTAGCATTTTCTGTTGCAATCTTGCTACTCTGATTTGCTAGGGAGTCTTGCCGGGCATTTCCTAATGTTGTTTCGATCGAAGACAACGCAGAAACCTACCTGTTCTCTTCAAGCAAACCTCGAGTGAATTGGAGCCTCCTTGATGAAAGTTGCACTGTTCCATAATAGAAAAAGGTCACAATGCACTCGGCAATAACTTGCAAATCCATATCGACGTCGACATTTGATTTCTGTCCAGTTATGGGCTCCCACATCGCAAGTGCTACTTTTGCTTTAGGTAGGCGACAGTCGTAGAGAGATCTTCCTGGCAACCTCTCGTTGAGCTCATATCCAAGGTATATGATTGGTCTAGGTATTCTCACCGTCTCCGTAAAAAACTGATCAGGATACAGTCATTCTTTTGTGCATTACGGTTCAGTCTGCGTATTGTGAGAAAATAGTTCTCGGAACATATTTTTTAGACGGTCCAATATATGTACATATATATTGAGTTACACTGACTCTTGTACAGTGGATAAGACGTTCAAAACTTCATCGAGCGATGTTCAAACCGGCGGTAGTTTTCTATAAGGTGCATGTCAGATGCTTATCTTATCCCACTTCTGAAAATCGAATACCAGTTGCGGTAGCTTAGCCTTCACCAGCGCATATACATACAGTTTATACGTAATTTTCCTTTAGGCTGGATTCTGTTATTGCTGCGGTATTCATCCGACGATTTTTGGACGCAAAGATTAGAGACGACGTCGTTCACCTAATCAAAAACGTCAAAGACACTTTCAAAGCAAACTTGTTGGGACTAGAATGGTTTGACAGGCAAACGAAAGAGCTGATTCTGTCAAAATTGCTGACGAGTATCGAAAAAGTCGTGTCCGTTGGAGACTTGATGGATCTGGAAATTGATAATGAGAGGACATTTTACAATGTAAGCAGTTTTTCATAGTTACCTTAATTTTTAGTATACTCCGATACCGATAGTTTATAATACCTCCTTAGTGAATAAATTGTAGCGTATAAAACATATCAAATTAATATAATTTTACCTTTCAGGTCAATATTTCCAACCATTCCTTCATGGCATCGGCTTTATATTTGGACCATATAAAGCATGATAAACTTTTCATGAAGTTGATACATCCTGTCGATGACCACATGTTTGCAAATACAGGTTTCATCACTGGCACCAAGATCAAATACTTGCCGAAGAAGAATGTTCTAAGTACGTAAGTACTTACCTCCTACACTAATTCTGAGATTTTTACTTACTAGTCTCTGTAACGATTTTACCTTTCAATTGAACCACTTTTGGAGAATGATTCGATATTCATTTTGTGCCCTAATAAAGAAGCTTTGCGAAAATAACATAACGATGACCTTGACTATGACCTTGAAAATGACCTTAAGGGTTATTTGGTGAACATTTTGAATTGCATTACATATAAAAATCATAAGACCGGATTCCAATTGAGGTAAACTTTGGGATTCAAAGTAGGATCATGAATGTATTATATAGTTTAAGTGCCACAATCACCACAATCTTACTAGTTTTTATAATCTAATCTAAAACGCTTTTAAATTGGGTAATTAACAAATAAATGGCATTAAGTTTTTCTAAGTTAAGCCAAAATTGGTAGTCAGTAAGTAAGTAAGTTTCATTAAATTTAATATTTAAAACACACATGACAACAGCGCGTCGATCGTCATCACTCTTATCGAATCGGCAATAGATCGCAAACGGTAACAGTGGTTAGTATGTTGTTTCGTTTTTGTTCGCGTACGTCATCGCGAAAATTTTTTTAATGCGGCTGAAATAATAAATGGAGGAGGACCTAGAGTAAGAAGGAACTGGGTTCGTCGTAATGAAGCTTGTTTGGAAAGTGGAGGACGACATTTTGAACACCTTTAAATAAAAAATACGATTCTGTTACTTCGAAAGATTTTTAATAGTGAGACCTTTTGCATTTCGCACCTACGTCGCCTGGTTTATATAAATATTTCAAATGTTCCTCTCTTACATTTCAGTATTCCCGATCGGCATATTCGAGGGGATTTTCTACCGTCATGACAGGCCGTCGTACATGAACTACGCCATATTGGGTTCGCTCGTGGGTCACGAAGTGTCACATATCTTTATGCGCGCCAAACATGGCCTGCCGCCTTCTGAATGGGAGTTGAGGAGTTTCTGGACGCCCAGCAGTCTGGTCAACTACCAGGAGAAGTTGCATTGTCTGGCCGAGCAGTACGCGAAGTTGCACGGTGACAGGAAGTTATCGGTGAGTTCGGAGCGTTGTGTAGGATCCTTGATTAATTGCTTGGTGGTGTCCAGAGGCGCATTTGTAATTATACCCGGAGACAAGGAACATGGAACAGCCAGTAAACATATACGAGTATAGAGAGTTTTGTATACAGTTAGACATGAGCAACAAGAAGGAGTTATCAATTTTTAATTGAAACATTTTGCTATATCGCTAGATTTCCCTAGTAGTATGCTGTGACCTTGAGATATCTCAAGCTAGCTGAACTTGGTTAGCGTTTGTGGAGGCTAGGGTTAAGATGTCAAATTCACAGATTCACACATTCATCCAGGGTTTTGTTTGCTGATAGGAAGCTCAAAATCTGTTTCACCCTTTTAAAGGTAAAATCCCTTTAAATTTGATAACAGACAATAGTGTTGTAATTATTCATTACAAAGTCATTTAACCTGCGTACAGAGTTACCATCAGAGCTAACCCGACGCTCTTCAGTTTGACCAGGCAGCAAGATGGTGGTTCATGTCGCCCGACCTTAGATAGCGTTGTTCTGTTTAACAGGAGCTCAGATAGATCTTTCTCCGTCCGTGTCGGAGACGCCTATTCTTCTAGCCATCGTGTTACTAGTGGAGTTCCACACAGCGACCTTCCCACCCGACTTTCTTCTATGTGTTCCATCTATGCAGATGATACTACAGTCTATAACACTGCCATGAACTCATCTGTACTTCAAGAAGACCTCAAGCTGATCAGAACTTTGGCACCTGCGTTTAAATCTCTCGAAATGCTACGTTCTCCATCTGGGAAAGAATAATCCTAACTTAACATATAAGATTGCCAAACATACCTTAGAGACTGTTTTTCTTCACACAGATCTTGGTCTGACAGTTAATGACCGGCTCACCTGGTCGGATCACATTCAGAACAGAACCTCTAAGGCAAAGCGGTTGCTATATATGATGGAAAGATCAGTTAGCGGTTGCACCATTAGTACCTCCTCCTTCTTGCACACAACTTGCGTACGAGCCCTACTGGAGTTTGCTGCTCCGGTATGGGATTCAAACCTTGTTTGGTGTGGACATGTCGCATCTGTTTCGTCTGGCAACGAGCAATCTCAGAGACCATAACTTCAAATTGCAGAAGGAAGCTTTTAGAACCTCTACTCGTCAGCGCTTTATCTCAAACCGTGCCATTCTGTATATGTCTACTTCAGAAGTGCTAAGATTGTCAAATTGTTATATTTCTTTTGTCTGTACACTATTATCTATTATGTGTTTGAGTTTATAGTACTTGTACTCAACTCAAATTTGTTGTTTATTAATAATAATAATTTATAGCCCCTTGACCCCTAATTAGGATCGCCTCTGACACAGTACAAGTCTTCCCCGGAAGCAAAAGTTACCTCGTCTCTGCAGTATTCGAGAGCACACAGAAGAATGGCTCTGGCTGCCCATACACTATCATACGCTGGACCTGTTGGCCAAACCGTTTTGATTGCGTCAAGCTGTTTGGTTTCCACCATTTATTCAAATGCCGGAGAATCTTATTTTCCAACAGGATTATTTCAGTCTCCATATTGGTAGGACTGCTGTGAGCTACCTCAATAACTGTTTACGAATGGAATCCGTCCAAGTGAATCGCGATATTCTTTTATTACGAGTCACTCTGTACAGGCAAGCCTGATTAATTTCGTCATTTCACGTATTTGCAGAGTCAGAACGCCCTGAAAACCGGGGACGAGGACATGGCAGATTTAGCAGGGATGGAAATCTCTTACGATACTTACCTAAACCTCATTAAGGAAAATGGAGCGGAACCGACGCTGCCAGGTAAGATTAGTAGGTTAGTTCATCTCGCCTTTAACCATTCTGCTCTTTGTAGAATTTCCTCTATATTTCTCTTCTGTGACACATGATACGTTGCCCTGTGACCCAGTGGCATTATGCGCAGTGTTTTTGTCTTTTACAGATCGAATTATAACTCTAGATACGAGTATCTCGTTAACCCATGTTAATCCTCGCAGTTTCGCGATAAATGTGACTATAAAAAGAACATAACGAACGCAGAATAACTCCGTCAAGTAGCTTGACTCTGCAGACTCTATGCTTTGCTGCAAATTGGAGAGTACATTCGATCTGTTTTCGGTAGATTTGTGCGACGTTTTTCGGTAGATCCTGTAATCTTACGGTAGACCATACCCAAAAAAAAAACTTGCCTGCTATTTGAAAAACTGTACAGTGGGAGAGGGAGGGATTTAGTATTGAATAAATAAATGTGCCTGCGACTTGTTGTATTGGCAACGTACCTTAAAGCAAATTGTTTTTTTAGGTTTGAACTACTCTACAGCACAACTCTTCTGGATATCGTCAGCAATGCACCATTGTTCAAGGTATCCGTACAGCGAAAGGGACATGGAAAACTTCGGTTGGTCTCCTGTGGAACTGAGAGTCAATGGACCGTTGCAAAATATCAAGGAGTTTGCCGAAGATTTCGGATGTGCTGCTGGATCTAAGATGAATCCTAGCACAAAGTGTGACATTTGGTAGAGAATAATTTATGGTTTTGTTACAAGTGCCTAGTAAATGGTTTTACTAATCAAGTTTGTTTTATTTCGCCACTATGCTAAGCGTGTAGCTTCGCCCGTGCGGAAGCAGTGTAAAGTATGCCATTCGTTTTGTAATGGGTGATTTTTTTGCTAGTATCTTTTTGGCAACACTGTTTTTGACAGATGACGCGTGAATCGTGTCTTGTGTCATTGTCAAACTTGTTCAGTTTGGTCTATAATTTAACCATGAATCGACTTACGAACGAACAACGCTTGCAAATTATTGAATTTTACTATCAAAGTTTATGCTCGGTTAAGAGAGTGCATCGAGCACTGCTTCCAATTTATGGGCAATTTGGTCGGCCTACTGAGGGAGCTATTCGGAAGCTTGTGACTAAATTTCGAACCCAGTTTACATTATTGGACATTAAACCACCAACATGCAGACGTAGAGTGAGGACTGAAGAAAATATTGCGGCTGTATCCGCCAGTGTTAGTGATGACCGTGAAATGTCGATTCCCCGCCGTTCGCAGCAATTGGGCCTCTGTTACTCCACTAAGTGGAAAATTTTGCGACAGGATTTGGGTGTAAAACCTTATAAGATACAGCTGGTGCAAGAATTGAAGCCACACGACCTCCCACAACGTTTCCAATTTGGTGAATGGGCGCTGGCAATGTTGGAGGAAGATCCACATTTTTATCGAAAAATTATGTTCAGCGACGAAGCTCATTTCTGGTTGAATGGGTACGTTAACAAGCAAAATTGACGCATCTGAAGTGAAGACCATCCAGAAGCATTGCAAGAGCTACCAATGCATCCCGAAAAAATCACTGTTTCGTGTGGATTATGGGCCGGTGGCATCATCGGGCCGTACTTCTTCAAATACGACAATGGTCGGAACGTAACTGTGAATGACGAGCGCTACCGTGCGATGATAACAAACTTTTTTTTGCCCAAAATGGAAGAGCTGGACTTGGCTGACATGTGGTTTCAACAAGACGGTGCCACATGCCACACCGCACACGAAACAATGGCCCTATTGAGAGGCGAGTTCGGTGAACTGTTTATCTCACGTTTGGGGCCCGTCAATTGGCCGCCTAGATCGTGTGATTTAACACCGTTGGACTATTTCTTGTGGGGCCATGTTAAGGCTAATGTCTACAGGGTTAAACCAGCAACGATTGATGCACTGGAAGCCAATATTGAAGCCTGTATTCGTGAGATACCGGCCGATATGTTGGAGAGAGTGTGCCAAAATTGGACCTTGCGCATGGGCCATCTAAAGCGGAGCCGCGGCCAACATTTACATGAAATAATCTATAAACATTAAATTATATCGACCGTTCTATCGACTCAAATAAAGATTTAATCGTTTTTTCAAATTTTTTGTGTTTTTTTTGAAAATCAAATCCTATACCTCTTAAAAAATCACCCGTTATAAGTGCGAAAGAAATGTCATATTTAAAGTAATGCAATGACGCAACAGGCATCTTTTATTTAACATTTTGATGCAACATCACACATTCAATAATTTTGTTCTTCTAAGATAGCATATGCCCTATTTGTATACCCATTTACTTATTTCGGTCGGACCAGCGACTGAGCGCTTTCGCGTCGAACAATATATTCTAAATTTAAAATCTTTTTGAAATCCTCAAAATTGTCAAAATGTTCGATTTCTTCAATATTTGCAAAATTTTCATTTTCGAAATTCTCAAATTTTTTAGAATGTCAAACACTATCAGTTTTCAGAATTTAAAAATTTTGGAATCTGTTTTTTTAATTCCAATTTTCAAGTACTCAAAATTTTCGAGATCTTCATTTTTTTCATTTTAAAAATTTAAAAAATTTCCATAATTTTCAAACTTTTTAGAATGTCAAATATTTCCAGTTTTCAGAATTTCTAAAAATTTAACAAATTTCATAAATCTGTTATGTTTAATTCCAATTAGTCATATTTTTCGAAGTTTTTAGGAATTTGCAAATTTGAAAATCTTGATTTTGAAATTCTTGGTAGTTCGAAACTTTAAAAAATGTCAAAAGTCGTGCAAAATTAGAAAAAGTCGAGTTATTAGATCACTTAAGGAATTTTAGAGTGGTTCCATAGACGTCAAACAGAATCTTATCTATAGAGATATGACGAGATCTGTTAGGAAATTTTTTTCAGCATATTGTATAGGCGACAGATACTCTTCTTTTCAAGTGGACGATTACCATGATAACGTGATCGTGATCGGAATCAATCTCAAAAACTATCAATCACAACCATTATTCCAACATTATTTGGTGTCATCATGTGGAGGTGTGTGTTCCTGTTTTTCGGGGTCCTGCAGGTATTTGTTTATTAGATTATCCATAAAATATTGTACCTTGAAGCCAAAATCGTGCTAGAAAAATAAATGAAAACATATGAGATGGCAATGAGTTCCATTACATAATAATAATTTGAACTTTATTTTCCCATTATGTACGTACATTGCACGCATACATGGGAAATACATAACAATAATGGAAAAGCCTTAAGGGGGAGTCCATCCCAAACATGTGATTCCACTCAGCCCTTGCCAGTAGCAGAATACTTGTGAAAAAATATGCTAACCTAAAAATAATAAAAAAATACACATAGAAAAACACGGAAATTGTAATAATATGACTGTTGATAAAGTAACCTGAAACTATAGTGTATTTGCACCCAAGATAGAATGGATGCGTGATTGCCAAAAGCAAGGACGGCGTACAGGGCCGCCTTCAGGGCTACCTCCGAATTATGGACTACCACCAACCTGTTGTAAAACAAAGATGACAGTATTTAACGAAATTATCTAATATAGTGAAGTAGTTATAGTTAAGGGTGTCGCAAAATCAAATTTTTATTCTTGAAGGGGTGCTAAGTTTTTCTACAGATTTTTCAAACTAGACAACATGGAGAAATACATACCAGAGGTAACCAGCTGCTCACTATGCACAATGAATCCGTAGTCAACGAGGGGTAGAGATGACACTTTTGTACATGGAATCAATTGAAAATAGATTTTGAAGGTGCACTTCGGACTTGCATTGTCTGTAGTTTATCTGTAAGTTAATATTTCACTATAACTAGGATTCCCATAATATGTATTCTGTGACAAAACAAAAAGGTGAAACTCAGACTCACTTGAAGAGCTATCGTCATTAATGTTTATGATGATGGATTCAAAACCTCTCTCAATTATGTTGTCCAGCTCCCACATTGCTACCTCCACTTTCTCCTGAACATGCTGCACACATTTTTGTTATCTTTCTGATGTGACCCTCTGTATAACAATTCTGAACAGCTCTTGCATGTCAGAAAGTTTAAATGTTGTATTGTGTGCAGCAACAAAATTCTTAACATCTGCCCATATGTGCTCAATGGGGTTGAGCTCACAGTGGTAAGGCGGCAAACGGAGTACTGTTTTTTGTGGTGTACTTTGGCCATTTCATCTATGACATATTTATCATGTCTTGGTCTGTGTTGTTTCACAATATCTAATAGTTGTAATTTCAGTAAGGAAGGGTCGAAAGTTATATTTTTGGAACGGAGACAGCTCTGAATGTCTGATTTCCTAGAAGCTGAAGTTGAGATTTTTTCTATTTTGCGAGAATGATAGGGAGCATTATCCAAAACAACCACAGAATTGTCTTCGAGACGTGGTAAAATGCCTGAAAACCACTTGCCTAAAAACCCCATTCATCTCTTCCTGGTAGTCAGTGGTTTTTCTTTGACTCAAAAGACCATAAGCCGTCATCCACGAAGCCATCTACACCCCCAATGTGGCAAATAATGAGCCTTTCTCCTTTCCTTAGAAAGATAAAATCCGCTAAGTACACATGCACGTCTTGTATGTTCGAAGATAGAGAGATATTGTGCGCAAAAATTGATACCGTGAACTACTTCGATCTATTTACCTGCTGGATTTTTCAATCCGGTCGACAGTCAATCTAGAAATGCCCTTCTGGATGAAGTCACAGTTTTGTCAACCCATACCTTCGGAGTAGTGTGCCCAGCGTTAATCCAGGTTTCGTCCAGGTAATAGATCTTCCTGTGCCGATCCCTGAATGATTTAATTTTGGTCAGGTCTCCTCCACAGAACAATTTCTTCTCTATCCATAATTAAGCTGTTACGACCTCGTTTCTTCCATTCGAAATTAAGATGCTTCAAAAGTTTATGAATAGTCGAACGTTTGAAATTTGGTAACATAGCAGCCTCGTTAACCTCCCGTAGTACTTTATCAACTGTCGGTATTTCGTTTCTGAACAAGAACTCGTGCACTTTCCTCCGAGTCGCTTGCTTGTCAGCGTCATCCAACGATCTTATGATACTTTTGCGATTTTTACCCGTCATTGGCTTGGAAAAGGCATGCTTTTTCTTATGTTCGTTCAAAACATTGTACACTATCCCTTGGCATACCCCAATTTTATCTGCCACTTTTCGGGTAAGTTGATGTTTCGTCTTCCTTCCGCTCTATCTTGAATGTATTCAATATGACGTCTTTCATGTCTACGCTAAGATGTCTTTTTTTTATCGCTTTCTAGGAGGGCTAAGGGAGTAGCCTACAGCCTCGTCAGCAGTATTTGTACTGGACATGTTCAGGATTGGTTCAAAACAAATAATAACGAGGAATAACAAACAGAAACTTAACAAATTACTCAAATACACTTAACAAGAACAACAGCAACAACCAATCAAGGTGAATACGAAAGCACGAGCACGCAGTGATACACGCGACGGTCGGTGGCCGGAATGCAACTCTGCCTGCCCTGCCCCTGCCCCGCGCATTATTCCGCCAGGCGACCGCTTGAAATTTAATGGCGAATTGACCAATAAGAGGCGTTGTCCCCACCTGTTACAGAGAGATCACGCGCTAACTGTTATTATTTACATCTCATCTTGAATTTGGATTCAGTTTAGTTCCTTAAATTTCTGTGGTTTTCATGATTTGCGATAACAAGGAGGAGAATTTAGAAAAAAACATGTTTTACTCGTCGAGTTCTGAATTCTATTATAATACCTTCAGTATGTACACACGTTGATTGTAGATTTTGTATTCTTGTGAATTTTCTTAGCGAATTTTCTTAACTGACTTTTTTCACTTCGTTGCATCATTTACAATTTTAAATTTTCAAATGTATTTTTTTCACATTATTTGTGACCCTGGGTAAGGCGTGAAATAAACGCCGAAACGTAGTCAGTTTGATCGAAGACATGTTTTAAACGCATGTTGATTTATCCAAAAAATTCGAAGAGACCGTAAACATATTACACACACCGAGATAAGGAGTTATTTTTTGTATAACGTGAAACCTATAAAATATTACAATAACTCAACAGGTAAATGCAGAAGATCCAATTGCAACAACTAATTATGGACAAGTAAGGGGACAGACGATGTCAACTTATCGCAACACAACGTACTATGCTTATTTTGGCATTCCTTACGCGGCACCACCAGTAGGTCGATTGAGATTCCAGGTAAGAAGGACCAAGATCCAAGATTCAAAATGATTTTAGATTGAGGCACTTGTTCTGTTTGTAGGCATAGTCTCAATATTCTGATATACAGTAATGGACAAAAGTGTATACTGGTAGACAAATATGAATATTTACCGGGGGGTGCTTTTCGGGGTTTGGGATGGGACCTTTACATAGAATAGATGACATTATGGATAAGTTTGTATACACAGACATACTAAAGCATGTCATGTTACCCTATATGGAAGACAATATGCCCTTAGATCAATCTTCTAGCAATATAATGACCCGAAGCACACTTCAAATCTCGCAAAGAAATTCTTTCTGGATGAAAAAATACCAGTTCTCGAATGGCCTGATATAAACCCCATTGTAAATCAATGGGAATACTTAGATAAGCAAATACGAGATAAAAATTATTCAAATAAGGATGAACTTTTTGCCGCTTTAGAGCAAAAGTGGTGACAGATTGATGAATCTTATATCAAGAAATTTCTACAATCTATGCCGAGACGGTGCCAGGCGGTGATTGATAATAATGGTTATGCTACAAAATATTTATAATATAACTTTGCTTCTGTTTTCCATAATTGTTTTGCTTCGTCTATACAGGGTGGCGCATCGAAAACGAAACAGACGCATTTACTGGCAGCTCAGTTTTTTTTTGAAAAAAAAAAATCACGTTAGCACGTGCAGCCCCCTAAGCGGGGGTGATACCACCCCCAAAATGTTAAATGGAAAGGGGGGTCGAGTGATACCTTATTTTAAAGGTCTCTCAATCCCTTTTATAATGATATGAAATTAATGTACTTCAGTTCAGTAGTTTTGAAGATTTATTGATTTAAAGCTGAAAGTAGACTTTAATAGGTACATCAGATTAGTTTGTACTACTTTCAGAAGAAATTTGACTAAAAGAATTTAATTAATAAGTAAATGCTTTTCTTCACTACGCCCATGGTTTGTTTATCATTGTGTTGTTGAAAATAGCTATTGGAGCGTTTTTTTGTGGCAATAAATTTATTTCTTGCAGAAAGATAAGGAAATATCTCGTAATTTAGTACATATTTTTGTCCTTCATAGTTCCAGTTTTTTTTCAATTAATTTTTTAATGAAGGGAGTCTAATGAACTTATTTATGTATAAGTGAGTATTATGCTATAACGAATTATGTATACAGTATTAATAAAACAAGTTAAAAAAGCACAATATTAATTTGTCTATATACATACTTTTGTTCATTACATATCTAGAGTTGTCGTCACCGTTCTTGTCGGGTCAAAGTAAGACTACCAGTTATACAGGGTGTTACACAACTTATCCGATAAATGTTAACCCCATATGCACTGTAACGACAGAAAGTGATTTCTCAAAAAAAAAATGTAATAAAAGTCCTACAGAAATTAAGTTATAAACCTGAGTTTCAACAGTAAATTGAAAAATAAATATCTGTATTTTGCGTTCATCGTCGTTATATTAACGGGTGATTTTTTAAGAGGTATAGGATTTGATTTAAAAAAAAACACAAAAAAATTTGAAAAAAACGATTAAATCTTTATTTGAATCGATAGAACGGTCGATATAATTTAATGTTTAAAGATTATTTCATGTAAATGTTGGCCGCGGCTCCGCTTTAGATGGCCCATGCGCAAGGTCCAATTTCGGCACACTCTCTTCAACATATCGGCCGGTATCTCACGAATAAATGCTTCAATATTGGCTTCCAGTGCGTCAATCGCTGCTGGTTTATCCCTGTAGACATTAGCCTTAACATGGCCCCACAAGCAATAGTCCAACGGCGTTAAATCACACGATCTAGGCGGCCAATTGACGGGCCCCAAACGTGAGATAAACTGGTCACCGAACTCGCCTCTCAATGGGGCCATTGTTTCGTGTGCGGTGTGGCATGTGGCACCGTCTTGTTGAAACCACATGTCAGCCAAGTCCAGCTCTTCCATTTTGGACAAAAAAAAGTTTGTTATCATCGCACGGTAGCGCTCGCCATTCACAGTTACGTTCCAGCCATTGTCGTCTTTGAAGAAGTACGGCCTGATGATGCCACCGGCCCATAATCCACACCAAACAGTGATTTTTTCGGGATGCATTGGTAGCTCTTGCAATGCTTCTGGCTGGTCTTCACTCCAGATGAGGCAATTTTGCTTGTTAAAGTACCCATTCAACCAGAAATGAGCTTCGTCGCTGAACACAATTTTTCGATAAAAATGTGGATCTTCCTCCAACTTTGCCAGCGCACATTCACCAAATTGGAGGTGGGAGGTCGTGTGGCTTCAATTCTTGCACCAGCTGTATCTTATAAGGTTTTACACCCAAATAGTAACAGAGGCCCAATTGCTGCGAACGGCGGCGAATCGACATTTCACGGTCATCACTAACACTGGCGGATACAGCCGCAATATTTTCTTCAGTCCTCACTCTACGTCTGCGTGATGGTGGTTTAATAACCAATAATGTAAACTGGGCTCGAAATTTAGTCACAAGCTTCCGAATAGCTCCCTCAGTAGGCCGACCAAATTGCCCATAAATTGGGAGCAGTGCTCGATGCACTCTCTTAACCGAGCATGAATTTTGATAGTAAAATTCAATAATTTGCAAGCGTTGTTCGTTCGTAAGTCGATTCATGGTTAAATTATAGACCAAACTGAACAAGTTTGACAATGACACAAGACACGATTCACGCGTCATCTGTCAAAAACAGTGTTGCCAAAAAGATACTAGCAAAAAAATCACCCATTAGAACACGCATTAGTAATTTATTGTAGCAAATGTTGCACCAAACAACTGACGAAAACAAAATACAAGGTATTTTTTTATAATTACAGGAGAGATACTTTTCATTTGTACTGGTGAGAGTAGCAGATGCTGTGTTCCGCCCATGGTGCGGAGCCTCGATCTGTTTCCTTATTTCATATGGCGTTGATGACGTAACCGCCGAGAACGGTGACTGCAACTATACCTGAAACAGGTTCAAAACAAACAATGTCACATTCATTTGACTGTCGAAAACATCGCTATTCTGAAACTTACGAATATTATATCCTTAGTGTTGATTCCGTCGTACTAAAAATGACCTTGATGCGAACGATTTTATCAGATTTTTGAGTTCTCCACTAATATATTTCAGGCGCCTCAGCCACCCTCGAGTTGGTCAGGAATAAGAGATGCCAAAACGAGCGACAAAATTTGTATCCAATGGTTGCATAACATCGGAGGAGAGACCGAAGACTGTCTGTATTTGAACGTAGAGACCCCTGTGGTAATGTTTTTAACTCAACTACAATATAGAGTTATAACGCTGATTAATACATTTTTCGATAGAATTATTTCACAATTTCAGGCACCAGGATCCAGTGAAAGACTGCCAGTCATGGTCAATATTTACGGGGGTGGATTTCTCTATGGATTTGCTGGTAGAAGGCCAGGCGGCGCTGGGTTCTTGGCAGAAAAAGGCGTTGTTGCAGTTTCTTTTAACTACCGAGTTGGACCTTTTGGTAATGGCTATTTCAAATAATTTTCCTTACGGCAATTGGCGAGGAAGAGATTTAAAAGATTTGGAGAATAAAATTAACTACTATGCTAGGAATTTCTAAGCTTTAAAACCTTCCGAGAATAATCGATGGAAGCATATGTACGAGAAAATGACGGAAAATGAAAACCCTGTGCGTTTTCGGAATTTTTGCTTGACTGGTAAAACGTTGAGGGTGGGATTAGTAAAGGGTGGGGAAGGTTATATATCTCCTTTGCAGTGCCTCTAATTTTGGTTGTCATTAGATATATTTCACACATGCCCATTAATCTTAAGACTTAAAATCACAAAGGTATTTTCAGTTCCTATGTCGAGCGCGGTAGTTTACTCATCGCAACGCTGATCGTAACGTTGCCCAATGGGTGGAAACTGGGGACTAACTGTATCGGTCTATTTGACTGACTTGATCCATTAAATTTCGTCGCTATCTATGGTGGTAGTTAACTTTTTTGATATTGTACATAATCCTTTATGAACTGGTGACAGCCTGACGCCACTTTTGCTTGTAGGATTCTTGTCCACTCTGGACAGTTCCATAAGAGGTAATATGGGCCTGAAAGATCAACAAATGGCCTTACGTTGGATCCAACAGAACATCCACAATTTTGGTGGTGATCCTGCAAAGGTCACTTTAACTGGTCAAAGTGCTGGATCTGCTTCTGTGACTTATCATTTGTTAGCGCCTAGTTCTGCAGGTAGGTAAACGATCCTGTCTGACTTACGCCTTGTTCGGGATTTAAATTCTTAGGGTCAAAATTTTCGAAACTTCTATAATTTTCAGAATTGTCATCATTTTCTAAATCATCAGAATTTCCAGTTTTCAAAATCTTCAAAATCTTCGATATTTTCAAAATTTTCGTAATATTCAAAATCTTCAAGATTTTAAAAATCTTCAAAATTTTCGAAATTTCCAAAATTCTCAAAATTTTCAGCTTTCAAAATGTGTAAATTTTAAAAATTTTTCGACATTTCAAATGTTTTCAACATTTCGGAACTTTGAAGAATTTCAAATACAGGGTGACTTTGAAGTTGAATCATTAATTTTCAGATAATGATTGTAGAAGGAAGATAAACCAAAATATGTGTGTAAAAATAAAAAAAAAATTAAAAAAAAAATTTACCTTGTTTTATAAAGTATCCTCCCGACAAGTATTTCAGTGCGGACCTGTATTTGATCGTGAGGTCTTGGAGCACCGGCATGCCCTCCCCTGTGAGGTCTTAAGTCACCTGATTCACGAGCCCGTTGTACTACATTAACAAAGGCACGAGGGGTTGGTTGCACTCGATTGGGAAACCGATCCGCATAAACATGTGCCATTTTTTATTTCGTTTGAGCCACGCAGCAAACACCACTATTCACTCACACAGACTGAATAAAAACATCGTGATCAGCGTTTCAAATTCTTTCGCTTTTTTGTTTCCGATGCGATGAACCGATAAGGCGGATTATATCCGTTGTTGCCAAACACGAGCACATAATATTATTATTGAGACAGGGCGGTACTCCAACTTCTAAAGGGCTATAACTTTGTTACTTTAATTTTACCACAAAAATGTTAAAGGAAAAAAAACATTTCTTTTGATCAGATCTACTCACTGTTAAAATAAATGACTCAATCTCGAAGTATATCGAAAGTATATCGAAACTCAAATTTAAAAAATTTCCAATATTTCAAAAGTTCAAATAATCCACGAATATACAGATTTCAGAATTGAAAGGATTTCAAAATTCTCAGAATTTTCGACATTTTCGAGGTTTTCAAAACTTTAGAAATGTCCAAAATTTTCAAAATTCTCAAGATCCTCAAAATTTTCAAAATTTTCAAGTTTTAATATTTTCAAAATTTTCAAAATTTCCTATTTTTTCAAAATTTTCAAAACTTTCAGTATTTTCAAAATTTCCAATTTCAAGACTTTCAAAATTTTCAGAATTTTCAAGAATTTCTGAAGAGGAGAATTTCTCATACATTTTAGATTTCTTGAATTTTTCTAATTATTTGTCAAAATTTTCGGATTCTTCGAATTTTTCGAAATTTCAAATGTTTTCAACTTTTCGGAACTTTTGAAGAATTTCAAATATATCGAAACTCAAATTTCAAAATTTCCAATATTTCCGAAGTTCAAATATTCCACAAATATACAAAATTCTAAAGATTTCAGAATTGAAAGTATTTCAAAATTCTCAGAATTTTCGACATTTTCGAGGTTTTCAAAACTTTCGAAATTTCCAAAATTTTCATAACTTTCAAAATCTTACAAGTTTTCAAAATTTTCAGTATTTTCAAAATTTTTAAAATTTTGAGCATTTTCAAAATTTCTAATTTCAAGATTTTCAAAATTTTCAGAATTTTCAAGACTTTCTGAAGAGGAGAATTTCGGCAATATTTTAGATTTCGAGAATTTTTCTAATTCTTATTTGTCAAGATTTTCGCATTTTTCGAATTTTTCACAAAGTTTTGAGGATTGTGAAAAATCGATAATTTTGATGATTCAGAAAAATTTAAAATCCTTGGTTTGTAAAAAATGTCAAAAGTCATGCAAAGCTAGAAAATTCTTGAAATACCCCAAATTTTTGAAATCTGTGGACAGGTACTGTGATAAAAAAATAGAAAAAACGAGCGGAGGCGAATTTTATCTCCTAGACCTAGTTTAAGAGAAATATATTTCGGAATATTGTGTATGTATTATTTCTTTTAGGTTTATTTAGAGCAGCTATAGGTCAGAGTGGATCAGCTCTTTGTGAATGGGCCTATCACAGAGACCCAGTAAGCGTGGTTTACGGAATGGCTTCCGCCTTGGATAGCAGAATTACAACACAGAATACAACCCAGCAAGTTTTGCTGTTTCTGCAAAGCGTCCCAGTTCAACAGATCAAAGCACTGGATAGAAGATTCTATGTAAGTCGACCATTAAAAACTCTGTAAAACACCTCAAAATCATGACTACATTTTGAAATTCCGGCAAATCCAGAATTCGTTATGAACATCTTATTTGGTTGGTGAAGTATATATATATATATATATATATATGGTTCTTGTTATTTTGATATAGAAACTTTCAAAAATTTAAGAATGCTTAGAGTTGAGTATCTTTAATAAAATGTAGAATAGAAAATAGGTTCGATTTCTTTCAGATTTTTGCACCAGTTATAGACGGTGAGATGATCACAGCGCCAATGTACGATTCTGTTAAAAATGGTAAAGTCAATAAAGTTCCGTTGCTGATTGGAATAAATTCTGAGGAGTGCATTGGAAAAGCAGTCAGTGAGTATTTCATAAAATTTACGAAATAACCAATTATAATACAAATAAATCGAGCAATAGCACATTAGTTTCCACCGAGGTATGTAAATATTTTTTCACAATGAAATATTGCTACCATATAAATATGCCTTTCTAAAATTTTGGATGTAGTGGGTAATATGCTAATAGGCCTCAAGTCTGTAAATTCTTTAGGTTGTGCTACTTTTGGTAAGGGTTTAACAATCCGGCAACACCGTAAATCACAAAGTCAATGCGATATCTGAATCGCAGAGTCTGGCAAACATAGAAGCCGCTGTGTAATTTTCTAATATTAAACATCGTCGGATCTGTATTTTTTTTGCTTGATTTCGAACATTCTTGCAGGACCGGATTGGTTTAACAGAATGAGAGTAATGGACCCAAGACCAGAGACGTTCCTGCCGGGTGGGTTAGCAGAACATATAAATACAACGATGTTGAGCAGTGTCGGAGCACTCGTGAGGAAATTTTACTGTAACGGCAATTTTACTGCGCACTTAGGACAATCTGCTCAAGTAAGTTGACATTGAAAGAATTATATGTTTGATCAAAAATCGAAGAAATGAAAATTGCTCGTAGATGGAAGCCGCAAAAGAAGTTCTAACTAAAAATTGATTTTTCGATACGTTTTTGTCTGCAACGACCCAACTGTATATTCTTTTTTATAATAGATAATTTTTCGCTTCACAGTACGATTCCGACAACAGGTTTGTGAGAGCAATCATCAAATTTGCTGAGCTTTATTCACAACATGCAGACGTCTACTTTTATCATTTTTCGTTTCAAGGACAGATCTTCAACAACCATATTAACGTTGACGGTAAGCAGTCACTCCTCATCAACTCAATTGTCTATTTATAACGTATGTCTTACGAGCTTTGGAACAAAATAAACTTTTGTTTCCAAAGGCTACTTGATATTACTTCGTGTGTCTTAAAATTGGCCTATGAGTTTTGTGCCAAAACTGTAGGAGATTCAAATTCCCAAATTTTTTCACTCTATTGACAAATTTTCAGTAAAATGGTCAGAGAATTTTTCGACAAGGATTATTTCGAAAACAACCTTTACTATCATAATGTTCTTCTATGTATTTAAACGCCATAGGTGTCCATGGAGTTGGACATGGAGAAGACCTCAGATACCTCTACGCACCATATGCGAACCTTGATAGTTTCCCATGGGAAGATAGAGTCACAGTAGAACGTTATAGCACCTTGTTCACAAACTTTGCTAAATATGAGTAAGTATCCAATTTTAAGCGTGCAAAAAATACCAGGTACTCAATTTGAAAGAATGGCATAAAAATAAAAACTACTTCTCATTTTTGATTTATATGAAACACAAACTTCAAGTTTTTGACAAAAATAATGGAAATTAGCTTAATAAACCGAATATATTTGGAATTAGAAAAAACGGAACTCTTTTTCACTGTTTGTTCCATTTAAAAAATATAACTTCATTCGATAGATCTTTTGTGTGAGACCCAGTAAACAAAGCGAATATTACATCAAAAACTTCATATTAGATCCAATACCTTGTATAAATATCATATTCTTCTAGAAGATGATATAAAAAAGTTATATAAGGCGCCAATTTCAATAACATATAAAAAACACAGTATCTCATGTCCATAGTCTTAAAATGCTTGCAAAATGTTCCTTCGAAATTTTAAAACATTTTCGAAATTTTGAAAACTATCGAAATTTTATAAATATTCGAAATCTTCGGGATTTTTTAAATTTTAAAACTGTAAGAACTTTCATGATTTCCAAGACTTTCAAAATTTCCAAATTTTTCGATATTTTCGAAAGTTTCTTGATTTTCAAAATTTTCAAGATTTTTGAAATTTCCGAAATACACAGTTGTGAAAATACTCAAAATTTTCAAAATTTTAGGAACCTAATGGAAAATTTTCGAAATTTTGAAAGCTGGAAATTTTAGAAATTCTCGAAATCTTAATGGTTTTCAAAATTTTCGTAATATAAACATTTTCAGAATTTCAAAGGTTTTGAAAATTTTCGAAATTTTCAAATTTTTCAATATTTTCGAAACGTTCTCAATTTTCGGGATATGAAATTTAGAAAATTTTTGCTAATTTGAAAATTTTTATATTCTTACAATTTTCAAAGTCAGGCACCTATTGGAAAATTTTCGAAATTTTGGAAGCCGTCGAACTTTTAGAAATTTCCGAAATCTTCATGGTTTTCTAAATTTTCGAAATATAAAATTTTTCAAAAGTTCAAAGATTTTCAAAGTTTACAACATTTTATAAATTTTCAGTTTTTAAATTCCGAACTTTTGAAAATTTTGAAAATGTTAAGAATCCTGGAACATCCGATTTTTTTTGTGTTCGCAAATTCAATTCTTCCTCGTCAGTAGACGAGGTAAGTAAAACGAAGAAAATTTGACATGTCCATAGTCTTTACAACATATTCCTTCAAAATCTAACCAGATCACCCCTTGAAGTTTGGTCAGGTACCTAAAGAAAATTTTTCGAAATTTTAAAACATTTTCGAAATTTTGAAAACTGCGGAAATCTTAGAAATTCTCGAAATCTTCATGGTTTTCTAAATTTTCGGAATTTCAGAAATTGCAGAATTTCCAAGATTTCAAAATTTTCGATATTTTCTAACCTTTCTCAATCTTCGAAATTTTCGTGATATAAAATTTTCAAAATTACCAAGATTTTCGAAATTTACAAAATTCTCATAATTTTAAGAAAATTACTATTTCCAAAATTTCTATATTTTAGAAATTTTCAAAATTTTCAACATTTTCTATATTATCAAAGTTTTCAAATTGCGAACTTTTGAGAGTTTTGAAAATGTCAAAAGTCCTGGATTATCCGAAATTCTTCGCAAATTCAATTCGTCCTCGGTAGTATACGAAGAAAGAAGGAACAAAATTTCACATGTCCATAGTCGTGATTCTAAAACTTTTTCGAGATTTTGAAAACCATGGAAATTTTAGAAATCCTCAAAATCTTCATGGATTTCCAAATTTTCGGAATATAAAAATTTTCAGATTTTCAAAATTTTCGAAATTTTCAATTTTTGATATTCTCTAAATTTTCGAAATTTTCGAGATATAATTTTTTTTAATAATTTACAAGATTTTCGAAATTTCCAAAATATGCAGTTTTCAAAATTCTAAAAATTTTCAAAATTTTTACTATTTTCAAAACTTCTATACTTTTAAAGTTTCCAAAATTTCCAGCATTTGCTATATTTTCAAAGTTTTCAAAAGTGCGAACTTTTGACAATTTTGAAAATGTTAAAAGTCCTGGAATATCAGAAATTTTCGTAATTTTTCGCAAATTAGATTCTTGCTCGCCAGTAGACGAAGAAAGTAGAAGGAACAACATTTGAGTCTGAAAATGCTTGTAACATATTCCTCCAAAATCTCATCGCATCACCCGTTGAAGTTTGAAGTATGTTACCTTATGAAAAAACTATTGTGACAATTAGATGACACGTTTAATTCATTTTTCTCTATTATCTGTCCTAGAAATCCAACACCCGTTCCTGACGAACTCTTCCAGAGGTTAATCGTACCAAAAGTCACCCCAAGTGACTTCACCTATCTAGATATAGATAAATATTTGTCGCTGAAGAAAAATCCAAGAAATCCATGGTACCGTGAGTGGGTGTCGTTGTTTGACAAATACGCAAACTCTTCTTCACTGATCACCTATTGAAAGGCATTATTTGTAAATATTCAATAATGAATAAATAATAATCGATTACTCTATTTTCTTGTGTTTCCTTGATATACATGTTATATTTTCTTAGTAACTACGCAGTCAATACAGTGTTGCATCGTGCTTATTCAGCAATAATAACTTCCTTTAGATCTATTGTGTATTGTAAGCTTACCATGCATCGTAAGCGGGAAGCCACGTGCACCTGAGCATAGATGCATTGCAAGCAAAACTCTATATACCATTGCTCAATACCCCGGTAGACTCCGTCATAGTCAGATCATTGTAACTTTGCAATTTTGTAATGGGCTGTAGTCATCGTATACAGTTTTTAAAAGTTATTTCTAATTCCATTCACTTAAGGTACATTTTATGTGACATCAAAGGGACAACAGCAGTGATGATATCTATTAAAAATGCTGCAATAAAGATCATACTGTACAACTTTTATCATAATGTATGTACCCCCACAGCTTGCTTTTCCATTTATTCGATTCGATACTTATTAATATATTAAAATATTTTGAAGTATTTTCTATATCTTATCTGGAATGTATGATCTCAATAATTTTACGATATATCGACTTTGTCATGTTTGTTCTAAAAAATGAGAAGACAAATATGAACATCGGCTTTTTAGTTTTATTTGTTTGTATTCTCTTTAAATCATGTTGAAGTATCTGATTGCTTTAATCAGCTGCAGGTTTGTTGAGGTAAATGCCTGATTCTAATTGGATACTTTGTTGTTTGATGATTTTCGAAAAGACACGTGTTTATCGAAATATATTGCATTGTTTATTTGTTGTCAGTTTATTTAGCATTAATGCTACAATATCAATGTTATATCACATAATATATGTCTTCATGTCTATATGTTTTTATACAAAATTTCACTACTATAAATTTTGGTTTTCCATAAAATATTTTTTCATTTTCCCTTTGAACATTTTCAAACACATCCTTTTTGAAAAACTGACTTTTTATATAGCTACTGCAGTTTTGTAAATATATGTCTATACTTCATTTAGTAGAATAACTATGGTATTCATTGTTCAATTCAACAAAAATGTCTAGATGTTTTGGTGGATTATTTAACTTGATAATGAGAATGAAGGTTATCAAATTGTTGATATTCAAACATTGTAGCTCTGTCAACATAAAATTTAATCTAGTATATTTATTTTTAGCGTAGATAATTCTCATAGCTTTATTTTGTAATATTTCTAATTTCAAAATACCGCTTCGTTTGGAGTGACCAAAATAGTCGGACAGCAAAACAAATGAGGAAGAATGATAGCTTTCTACACAATTTTTAGAATAAACACTTGGACTATGCGAAATTCTATAAAGGTAATTTATCTTTTGGATGTTTTTGAAACAATATATTCATTGTACCCTTCAGATTTCAATTTACTACACGTATATGTCTGAATATTCAAATGATTAGCTCAATTTTGTCAACATTAATCGTAAGGTCATAGTATCTGCATCCAAAGCTTATCCTATAAGCATGTGTTTTCTTTTGTTTGTGTTTAATTTAAGTTTTTCAGATTCAACCGATGACACGTTTTTCATATCAATACTTAACATCTTTATTGCAGTTTTAATGTCTATATTTGACATTACATATTAATGAATCATCAGCAATTATTCGAATTTTGCAGTGTTAAAACATCAGGAATATCGTTAATATATGTAAACGAAACAACCATCGGTCGTCTGGTGCGTAAATTCGAGGCAACAGGTTATACACCTTAGGAAAAACCATTGTTATACATGGGAAATCATTTCTTGGCAACAGCGCATCGGCTCGTCTACTTTCATCGCTATTCGTACATATTTCCTACCGTTAACCGCAGACCTGTATCACGAATGAGAATAATAGGCAGATACGCTGTGTTGCCAATTTGAGTAGAGCTTCCCGAATTGTGGGGAATTTAGAGTTAAGTGTTGATTAATTCAAGCTTTTAATCAGCATGGCCTAGACGTTAGAACTTCATAAAGATAACATTGAAGCTGAATGCTGCTGGAGTATAGTGTTTCGAATATTCAAAGCGGAGCGGGACACTATACTCGTTCAATGGGTCATCAAACCACAGTCTTTTCAACAAAGAAATTATTTTACGAAAATGCGTTATATTTTTACGATTTTGTCGTCACCAAATCTCTGTTTCTCAAAATGTACGTCTATTGTAGAATTTTCAGCAAACTAAGCAAGAAACGTGATCTAGTATTTACTCAACATTACGGATTTCTCGAAATACATTAAAAATGTGACCTAGATACCTAACTGCCCCAAGCTCTTTAAATATAACACCTTAAACCAGGGTTACCAGGTGCTCAGTCACGTTGATTGTCATGTTGTACTGCGCAAGTCAGCAAACAATCTGGCGTAATAAACGTTAGGAATCATCAGGTATTGCCAGATTCCCGAATACCGGGCACCATAGTAACCGTTATAGTTGTCCTTCACAGTTGTCAAATCGCCCCTATGGCGCGAATTCGCCACACCAGGCAACTGTGCTATAAACAAACCCTGTTTATCACTACTATTTGATAGTCATATGGTAGTTGTAGCCCTATCTAGCGGTCCATGATTTCTCTCAATACTGTTGTATCTCTACTGGCAACAAGAATAGGGATTACAAAATCATTTATACAACAATATACAAACATGAAAAATATGATTTGAACCATGAAACATTAATACAATTTTAATAGTTTGAACTTTTTTCATTTTTGGAATACTCTTATGTGGAATCCGCAGCTATTTTTCCCGAAATTTGGGTAGACTTAGATTTCTTAGAAATATGACATATTGGTATCGGCAACTCTGCGAATGGGAGAAACAAATCGCATTTGTTGAGCGCATCCGTCTAAGCGGTAGGCGCCAGCGCCCGTTCTGCCATCTCTCTCTTTTATCACTATTCTACTTTACCCCGTTGTCCGTCACACTCCGACGCTGCCAGATATGATCCTACAATCGAGTGTCTTTCACGCACCTACATACTTTTGTATATTTCCATCTCTCTTCCTCATCATAATGTATAATAATGGTTTTTCCCAAGGTGTATAAGTTAAATAGCAATAGACCTAATTTGCTACCCCGTGGCACACCTACCAGAATGTTTTTAATGTTCAATAGAGTACTGCCACTTTGTCTACCCATGCTTACCAAAGTGACAGCGTTGTATCAACTTAATGTAAGAAGTATCATGTCTTGAAATCGTCTAACACCATAATAGGCTACTAGACGACATTTGAAAAATTGCTTAATAATAAAGTCTATATAAGCCAAAATAAACTTTTCCCGAAAAAATGTAACTTTTACATCATGTATTTTGCGTAATTTGAATATACCTCCACTAAAATTCTCCAAACAATTTGATGGCAAATATTCAAGTGTCTAGCGATCTTCCTCGTACTCGTTTCAGGATGTACTTCGACTTCGTGCGGCACTGCTTCCTCAATTTGAGGTGTTCTTACGCTTAGAGGTCTACTTTAAGATGCTTCTTTTCGGACAGAACCAGTTTCAACAAGACGACGATGAATATTCGAAAAGGTTCGACTATCTGGCAAAGCACGATCGGGATATCTCTGGCAATAAATCCGTTTGGCTTGCTCACCATTACCGTCGGCAAGGCCATATACTTAATGCATTTCCGCCATTTCTGCATTTGAATAATTCACAATTATTAACAAAGTTGTAAAAACTAAATAATGAAAAAGATGTCACAGCGAACAGATTTGAATAACACAGAGCAAGTAGATAATTATTGCTGAATTGCATTCTTCAAATATTACATTAATTTTCTCGGACAATAGAACGGTTTTTATTTTTTTACTCAAAAATGGCACATCTAAGGAAAGCAACTCAAAAGAGATCATATAGAACTATGTCAACTTAAATGTGGTCTTATTTCTTGTTCTTCAGGAGCTGGGAGGGTTGATCATGCCGAATATACAAAATACATGTACCTGGATCCTTTTGGTGATTCAAATAAGCAAGCACCAAAAGATGACCTGACTGTGGAAGTGAGATACAGTCAAGTAACCATCAACTTTATCAAAGAATTGTAAGTGCCTATAAAAAATATCTAAATATACATCCGCTTAGATAGCAATGGTTCTTAGAATTAGTCAATTGAACAGTAATTTTCCAACTTTTTGAATTTGACCTAACTCTTATCATTTATGTTTGATTTAAGAATTCCAAGCATCCTTTGCAATCCTTACTAGTTTTTTTTTCAGAAATCAAACACCAAGGAGGGATCCTTTATTCCACAACATACTCACCCCACCCTTGAGCCAGCAGAAATGACGATATCTCAATATCAAAATAACTTTGGAGATAATGCTTCTAGAATTGTTTGATTTAATAAAGATTTATTGTACGAGACTTGATTATCGTTCATTCATAGATCCCACACGTCATAGAATTTGCGAAAATGTAATAAATCCATATAAAAAAGAGGCGTCAAGTAGATTGACTGATATTCTGATGCAAAGCTGTAATCAGTTTAAAAAAGATTATGTTCGGCATAGAGAAAAAGTTAGTTGCAAAAATCAAATGGATCAAGTCAGTAAAACGGAAAACGTTTCTCTATCCTTCTAGGCTTTAATGGCAATGTAGGGGGGAATCAATTTATGAACGTCAAAAAACGAGAAGTAGAATAATATAATAATCTCCCAGCTTCCTGAGAATCAATTATAATTCTATAATACATTCACTATGTAAATGCGTTTCTGATATTGTGAAGTAGATTGTTTATCTAACACTCCTCAACAACCGATATGGAATTGAAGTACCAAAATTATAAATAAGACTATCGATCAATACAAGTGGGTCCTTTACATCATGATACTTCCCTTGCTGATGACTGTCCTTGGTTGCAGATTGGCAGTGAGTATTTAGCAAATCCTAATTCAGAAAATATGCTTTCTAGTATATCATTTTACTGCCGATTTTTCACTTGGGTTTACACCAGGAATTCGGACTGCCCCGTACATTGAACTCAAAATCTTCCGTCAAATCCACTAGAATTCGCACTTACGCGAAAAATCAAAACGGCCTTTATTTTATTACAAATCAGTCAATTTATTACCGTTAAACCTGTTTTGATTGCAATTTAAAACGAGCAGGCATGTGCCGATCCTATCATCACTCTACCAAATGGTAAAATTGCCGGAAGGGCGGATACAGTTACAACTGGACAAACAAAATGGACCATCTATTCTTATATCGGTATACCCTTTGCTGCCCCACCAATCGGATACCTACGATTTCAGGTAGGTAGAGATGATATCATCCAACATCACATAAATATTACATTAACAGTACACGAATACTATGTTGAAAATATATCAGAATTACATTACTATTACGTTAGAGAATTTTACTAGTCATAGGTACCACATTGGAAAACGTTAAACGTAAGCCTTCATTTGGGATAAACGTCAAATCCCTCTATTAACATTTTATTGACATTACACTAACGTTATATTAAATATACATTATGATTAAATAAGAGAGTTTCGATATTCATAAATGCAGCATACGTAACGTTAACTTTAACTTCCATGTGTGAGATTAATGCCAAATAAGGATGAAGTAACCGTTTATTTACGACTTGAATATGACCTCCTCTATTAACATTACGTTAAGTTTACATTAACATTACATGAACATTACGCGAACATTACGCAAACATTACGCGAGTATTACGCGAGCACTACACGAACATTACACGAACATTACACGAACATTACATTAACATTACTTTAACATTACGTTAACATTACGTTAACATTACGTTAACATTACGTTAACATTACGTTAACATTACGTTAACATTACGTTAACATTACGTTAACATTACGTTAACATTACATAAACATTATGTTAGCATTAACATTAACATTGCATTAACATGACATTAGCGTTCCTTTAACATATGTTAACGGTAATGTTTGCATTCTCTATAAAATTAAACACTTTTTATATATGTGGGTCAGTTGTTGAACCTGCTTTCCGATTAGCCCTTTCCATGAATTGGCTCAAAAGGAACCTGCGAGTTAGGTTCCAATACTGACTGGTATTACTTCTGAGTTAGCAATTGGAAAAGCGGCAGGTAATACTTCTCTATGAAATCACTTTTATATATTTCGGCCAGTTGTTGGACCTGATCACGGGAGAGCTTTTCTGAGCAGCCCTTTCCATGAATTGGCTCAAAAGGAACCTGCGAGTAAGGTTCCAGTACTGACTGATATTACTTCTGAGGAAGCAATTGGAAAAGCCGCAGGTAATACTTTTCTATGAAATCAAGTATCTCTTATAAATTTGCACCAGTTGTTGGACCCGATCATGGAGCAGCTTTTCTAAGTAGTCCCTTACATAACTTAGTTCAAACGGAATCCCTCTATTAACATTTTATTGTCATTACACTAACGTTATATTAAATATACATAAAGATTAAATTAAAATTAAATAAGAGAGTTTCGATAATCATAGATGCAGCATACGTAACGTTAACTTTAACTTCCACGTGTGAGATGAATGCCAAATAAGGATGAAGTAACCGTTTATTTACGACTTGAATCTGACCTCCTCTATTAACATTAGGTTAACTTTACATTAACATTACATGAACATTACATGAGCATTACATGAACATTACACGAACATTACGCGAACATTACGCAAACATTACGCGAGCATTACGCGAGCATTACGCAAGCACTACAAGAACATTACGTTAAAATTACGTTAACATTACATTAACATTACATTAACATTACATTAACATTACATTAACATTACATTAACATTACATTAACATTACATTAACATTACATTAACATTACATTAACATTACATTAACATTACATTAACATTACATTAACATTACATTAACATTACGTTAACATTACGTTAACATTACGTTAACATTACGTTAACATTACGTTAACGTTACGTTAACGTTACGTTAACGTTACGTTAACGTTACGTTAACGTTACGTTAACGTTACGTTAACGTTACGTTAATGTTACGTTAATGTTACGTTAGCGTTACGTTAGCGTTACGTTAGCGTTACGTTAGCGTTACGTTAGCGTTACGTTAGCGTTACGTTAGCGTTACGTTAGCGTTACGTTAGCGTTACGTTAACGTTACGTTAACGTTACGTTAACATTACGTTAACATTACGTTAACATTACGTTAACATTACGTTAACATTACGTTAATATTACATTAACATTATGTTAGCATTAACATTAACATTGCATTAACATGACATTAGCATTCCTTTAACATATGTTAACGGTAATGTTTGCATTCGTCTGAGACCAATGTCAAAAGATTTCTGTATCCAGAATTTATCACCATTTACGTTACATTAAAATTGCATTGTATATTTTAGCCTCCCGTTCCACCGACGAATTGGGCAGGGGTTCTGCAGTGCAAAAATAATAATAAGCACTGTTATCAGGTGGGAACGAATGATAAATTAGAAACTGAAGATTGTCTGCTCATCAATGTTTTTACGAAAGAGGTGAGTAGCTATAAGCCTTGTTATAATATTTGTTATGAGAGATTTCATATAAGGTTGGATTTTCACATATCAAGTAGAGGATAACGATAAGAAGATGCGAAAATATTGTTTATGAAATACATACATATGAAGAAAATGTTGAAACATATGGAAACTTAAATCAACAAACGTGAGTTACAAGTTACTCGAAAAGGAGAAGATCAAGAAAGAACCCAAATTTTCTACTATTTTTCGGCCACCTTTTGCTGGCCGACAAATAAAGCCATATATGTATAATTGAGTAATTTACCTACGTTTCACTGGCAAGACAGATGAATAAAACATATTATCGCTGTCACTGTAAATTGAAACAGGCCGAAACATTACTAATTCATTTAAACCTACATCAGTGGTTTCGTTTGGCGACCAGACAGGTATGAGGATTAAAAACATGTTTTGTCCCTACTCATGGAAGCATTTAAAATAAAAGCAGAAACAAAAATATCGCACTTATTATAACAAAAAATATAATACGATGAATTTCTTAGGCTCCTAATGTTCATGCAGCACTACCTGTCATGGTCGAATTTTATGGTGGAGCTTTCAAAGCCGGTGCATCTACTACATATTTTCCGAAAGTCCAGCATTTTGCTAGAGAAGGAATCGTAGTTGTTACATTGAACTATAGAGTTGGACCTTTTGGTAAGGCCTAATCATCCAAAATGAGTCAAAAGTTCGTTCTATATCCATATTCAAACCTCTCCCTTGGCTGCAAATTAAAAATTCAATACAACCATTTGGAACTTTTGGTATCATCACACGCATAATTTTCGCTTTATCGCTTTATTCGATATATCAATTCCGCGTTTTTCTACTGTAAAAATAATAGCTGTATTAAATTGAAATGTGTTATTTTCTCCTTTAGGATACAAAAACTCAATCCAAACGCCCAGTTTTGGTACTGTTCTACGGGGGAGCATTTATCCATGGAGCTGCAACAACAACGTACCAAAAAGTTAAACACTTCGTCAGAAATGACATTGTGGTTGTGACTTTGAACTACCGAGTTGGGCCATTCGGTAAGGGTGTCCCACTTGAAACTGTAGCGAACGCTGACTCAAAAAGTTGACATCAGTTGTGCTATAAAACCAAATTTTCGTAGCTGTCTTACTTTTAGAGTAACCAGTTGCTGCAGTTCTTCATAGCTGTAGCTGTCAACAAATTTAAAAAGCACTTTTGTTAACTTAATATAAGTCCTGTTTGTTGAAAGTTGGATGCGTTATCAAGTAACTAGCTTCAGGATTGCCTAAAAATTCTTAGAACAGACTTTTGGCTCATATTTCCAGAGACTCACTTAAACATCGTAATGTAAATTATTTTCTAGGTTTCTTGTCTACTGGGGACACTGTACTACCAGGAAATATGGGTCTGAAGGACCAACAGTTGGCCTTGAAATGGGTCCAACGAAACATCCATCTTTTTGGTGGTGACCCGAAACAAGTCACTATCATTGGCCAGAGTGCTGGAGGTGCTTCTGTGTCATTTCATCTCTTGAGTCCAAAATCAGCAGGTAGAACTAAAAACAAATAGTAGCTTGGCATTCTAGTTTCTTTTGTTCAAACTACCAATTTAATCAGATTGTAGTACTTGTTTCAGTATCTGTTATCACCAGCAAAACTTTATACGTAGCAGATATGAGACTCTGTATGCGAATATAATCGTCAAACAATCATCAGTTGTCTGTTGCACAATTTTTGATATAAAATAGATCGCTTAGATCCATATTCCCTTTCTGCACTATGCGACATGTACTCTTGGGATCATTGTCATTCCAGGATTGTTTAGAGCAGCGATAGCAATGAGTGGATCAGCTTTAAGCACGTTTGGTTACCAACAGCATGCTGTTCAGAACGCCTACGGGATTGTCAACGAAATTTTCCCAAACTTCGGAAACAAATCAAGTCGTGAATTGCTCAAGGCATTGCAGAGTGCCACAGCCAAGCAAATTGACAACACAGCTGATAAGTACAACGTAAGCTTTAATGTACTTTTGTTTATGACCAGACGGTAAAGTGTGCTTTTTGCGCACCCTAGGGCAGTATCATATCTTTGGATTCCATTTCTACCACCGTAACAACAGCCAATATTTATTTTTTGTTACGTAACAGCTGCAAATGGCGGCGACCGGTAATATAGTACGGTTAATTTACCAATCCTTGTGTGTACTTTTGGGGTTACTATCTTTGTGTTACAAATCCAAATAAACGTTTCAGATCTTTGGGCCAGTGGTTGAACCTGTCCATGAAGGAGCTTTTCTGAGTAGACCTTTCCACGAATTAGCTCAGATGGTACCTGCAAGTAGAGTTCCAGTATTGACTGGTATTACTTCTGAGGAAGCAATTGGAAAAGCCGCAGGTAATACTTCTCGATGAAATAAATACTTTTTATATATTTGGGTGAGTCGTTGGTCCTGCTTTTTCGAGTAGCCCCTAACATGAATTAACTCAGAAGGAACCTGCGAGTGAGGTTCCAGTACTGACTGGTATTACTTCTGAGAAAGCAATTGAAAAAGCCGCTGGTAACACTTCTTTATGAAATTAAATACTTTTTATATATGTCGGTCAGTTGTTGAACCTGCTTTTCCGATTAGCCCTTTCCATGAATTGGCTCAAAATGAATCTGTGAGTTAGGTTCCAATACTGACTGGTATTACTCCTGAGTTAGTAATTGGAAAAGCGGCAGGTAATACTTCTCTATGAAATCACTTTTATATATCTCGGCCAGTTGTTGGACCTGATCACGAGAGAGCTTTTCTGAGCAGCCCTTTCCATGAATTGGCTCAGAAGGAACCTGCGAGTGAGGCTCCAGTACTGACTGGTATTACTTCTGAGGTAGCAATTGGACAAGCGGCAGGTAATACTTTTCTATGAAATCAAGTATCTATTATAAATTTGGACCAGTTGTTGGACCTGATCATGGAGCAGCTTTTATAAGTAGTCCCTTACATAACTTAGTTCAAACGGAATCTGCGAGTGAGGTTCCAGTACTGACTGGTATTACTTCTGAGAAAGCAATTGAAAAAGCCACTGGTAACACTTACGCGAACATTACGCAAACATTACGCGAGCACTACACAAACATTACACGAACATTACACGAACATTACACGAACATTACACGAACATTACATTAACATTACGTTAACATTACGTTAACATTATGTTAACATTACGTTAACATTACGTTAACATTACGTTAACATTATATAAACATTATGTTAGCATTAACATGACATTGCATTAACATGACATTAGCATTCCTTTAACATATGTTAACGGTAATGTTTGCATTCTCTATGAAATTAAATACTTTTTATATATTTGGGTCAGTTGTTGAACCTGCTTTTCCGATTAGGACTTTCCATGAATTGGCTCAAAAGGAACCTGCGAGGTAGGTTCCAATACTGACTGGTATTACTTCTGAGGTAGCAATTGGAAAAGCGGCAGGTAATTCTTCTCCATGAAACACTTTTATATATCTCGGCCACTTATTGGACCTGATGACGGGAGAGCTTTTCTGAGCAGCCCTTTCCATGAATTGGCTCAGAAGGAACCTGCGAGTAAGGTTCCAGTACTGACTGGTATTACTTCTGAGGAAGCAATTGGAAAAGCCGCAGGTAATACTTTTCTATGAAATCAAGTATCTATTATAAATTTGGACCAGTTGTTGTACCTGATCATGGAGCAGCTTTTATAAGTAGTCCCTTACATATCTTAGTTCAAACGGAATCTGCGAGTGAGGTTCCAGTACTGACTGGTATTACTTCTGAAAAAGTAATTGAAAAAGCCGCAGGTAACAATTCTCTATGAAATTAAATACTTTTTATGTATTTGGGTCAGTCGTTGAACCTGCTTTTCCGATTAGCTCTTTCCATGAATTGGCTCAAAAGGAACCTGCTAGTTAGGTTCCAATACTGACTGGTATTACTTCTGAGGTAGGAATTGGAAAAGCGGCAGGTAATTCTTCTCCATGAAATCACTTTTATATATCTCGGCCGGTTGTTGGACCTGATCACGGAAGAGCTTTCCTAATTGGCCCTTCTATGAAATCGCTCAAAAGGAACCTATGAGTAAGATTCCAGTATTGACTAGTATTACTTCTTAGGAAGCAGTTGGCAATGCCGCAGGTAATGCTTCTCTACGAAATAAAATATTTTTTAGATTGATTAGGCGAATTGTTGAACCCGTTCACAAATGAGCTATTCTGAGTAACTCTCATTATAAATGATCTCAGAAGAAACCTGCAAGTAAGGTTCCTGTACTCACTGACGCTACTTCTAAGGAAGGCGCAGGTAATATTTCTCTATGGAATTAAATATTTTTTATACATTTGTGCAAGTTATTGATCAAGCAAGAGCTTTTCTGAGTAGCGCTCACCATGATCTGGCTCAGAATGGACCTGCGAGGAGGAAATAATCATCTGGGAGGTAGACAAGGACCTTCTCTTGAAAGGTTGATGCCATGTATAAGAGTAAACAATTTTCTTCAAAAGAAAAATGAAGTTTGTTTTTACGTGAAGGACTGAGAACCCACTTGGAATCGTTGTAACATGTAACACTCTGTATTTTTCAGATTTGAAGGCTTTGAGACACGCGGCCGATATTTTTGATGCTCGTCCTGAGGTTATGGTGGACAGTTGTATGAATGTGGAAGAGGGTAGAAGGAAAGACGCTGGAGGAAAAATCCATTCGGCTTACACAAGCGGAAAATTAGCTGATGACCTTGCTGCGGTTATAAGGGTACGAAAAGCATTCAGTTCGCGTGGAACTATGGTTCCGTTTGGAATGACAGCTTTCAGTGATGTTGGAGATTATTTCAATGATGACAGATAGCAGCAGTGACGTCACAATCACTGTGGATCTGCTATAGAGGCAAATTTTGAGCTGATAGCTCCAGATGAATTGCTTTGTTTTGTTTCATATGCCACAATTTGTTCCACATAGAATCGTATAAAATGAAAGTGAAAACAATACCATTGTTATATGTTTTTGTTTTCTTCAATCTTGTGTATACTTTATATGAAAATGCCAGTTTTGAATCGTTGATAACTTTTTGCAGTACGCTTCAGATCATAGATACGCCAAACCAGTGTTAAGGTATGCTCAACTTCAATCTCAGTTTACTCCTGTCTACTTCTACGTCTTCTCCTACCATGGGGTAAGAGGAAACAACCCAGTTTATATAAAAGGTAAGTTAAGAGGAATTAAATATTTCTTTGTATCAACATTCAATGCCCATACTATAACACAATCAAGACTTTATACAGCATTTTTGAGATTTGCGGCAAATCCTGCAATAAAAGAAATATGTTATACCGATACGAACTAGAATGAATAAATTTTGTGTGAGTGGCGATTTTGACTGTCAAGTGATGACTCACCAGTCAAATATCCCTGTGGTTACGCAGCTTCACAGTCTGATCGAAACTTTACTTTCTAGGTGCCGGTAGGGTTGGTCATGCCGAAGATACCCTTTACATGTATATGGATCCTGAAGACGCCTCATTTATCTCAAACCTACCGAAGGAAGACCTTTTGGCAGCCAAGCAATATAGCACCCTTGCTATGAACTTCATCAAGTACCTGTATGTACTATTCTCTTCCTTGGTTGATTCAGTTACTCATTTTTCCATAGCTAGTAGATTTTAGCTTTAAGTTTCAGAGCAGTATCTACATTTCAAAAATATGACACAGCAGTTGAGGATATTTTTTGCACCGATCATTTTTACTTTGATGTCCAGTACTAATAAAGTAATGATGGGTATTTTTCAGCAATCCAACCCCGGAGAAAGATCCACTGTTCCGAAACCTTACTGTACCCAAGGTGACTCCTGACAAGATTCCTTACTTGGATATCGATTATCCTTTGCGAATTAAGGAGGGGCCCAGGGAGCCAGCATACTCTTCATGGGTAGAATTGTATAAGCAGTACGCCGAGGCACCATATGTGTGTTTCTAAATAATGAAAAGATTATGATTCAATAAAAATCGTCAACTAATATAGCGGATTTGGATGTACGTGTTGTTACCCTTTACATGCCTCACACTCTTCTTCTTAACTGCAACTGCAACTATTGGATTTCATATGTCAGATTGAGAACTCGATCATCGCTTGTATTAGCTTGTCGCTGCCTGCTGAGGTATTTATGGCCCGCTGGCCAATAGGAGCGAGCGGATGTGAACTCCACGACCTCTTGACTGCTTTGATGGAGAGTAGATGATATTTGGATACAACTAAGTGCGAATTTCGCAATTGCAGTTTCTTATTTAAATAGCAAGCGAAATAGTAGGACAAAGTTATAAGGTTGGAGAAAGGCCAATAAATGGTGACCTTGAACCGTTCTTGTTCATGACATTGAGCATGTCGTTCAAGGATATACTAGGGCGTCCAAAGGGAATGATGAGAACAAAATATCTCGAAAAACATGCTAGCAGAGAAAACTGTGGTCGAGCGAAGCTGCAAGTTTCAAAAAGGGTAATTTAATGTTGACTTTGAACGTAACCTTGGCCATGACCTCCAAACCTTACAACGTTCTTCTGCTACATTTTCATTTATGAAAAGTATCTTCGATATGTTTTGTCCCTTTTGGACACCCTCAAATATCCATAAAGGTCATGCTCAAAGTTATGGCCATGGACATGATCAATGTCACAACCGAAGTCTTGCTCAAGGTCAAGGACAATTCCAAGGTCTAGGTAAAAGCTGAGGTCTCGACCAATGTTAAGGTCAAGGTAAAGGTCAATATCAATGTCAATGTCGATTTCAATGTCGATTTCAAGGTGAATTTCAAGGTCAAGGTAACGTTCATTATAACAGTAATGTTCATAGTCAAAGGTCAAGGTCAAAGTCAAAGTCAAGTTCGATACAAAGGTTAATATACAGGGTGACTTCGAAGTTGAGTCATTTATTTTAACAGTGAATAGATCTGATCAAAAGAAATGTTTTTTTCCTTTACCATTTTTCTGGTAAAATTAAAGTAACAAAGTTATAGCCCTTTGGAAGTTTGAGTACCGCCCTGTCTCAATATCATGTGCTCGTGTTTGGCAACAACGGATATAATCCGCCTTACCGGTTCATCGCATCGGAAACAAAAAAGCGAAAGAATTTGGAACGATGTTTGTGTACAGTTTATTATTTTATTCAGTTCAGTTATACATACAGTCAGTGTCAGTGTCGCGTGTGAATAGTGTCTGTTGCGTGGCTCAAACGAAATAAAAAATGGCACATGTTTATGCGGATCGGTTTCCCAATCGAGTGCAACCAACCCCTCGTGCCTTTGTTAATGTAGTACAACGGGCTCGTGAATCAGGTGACTTAAGACCTCACAGGGGACCTCACGATCAAATACAGGTCCGCACTGAAATACTTGTCGGGAGGATACTTTATAAAACAAGGTAAAAAATTTTTTTTATTTTTTTTTATTTTTACACACATATTTTGGTTTATCTTCCTTCTACAATCATTATCTGAAAATTAAAGACTCAACTTCAAAGTCACCCTGTATAACTAGATGTCAAAATAAAGGTCAAAGTCGAGACCAAGGTCAAGGTCAATTTGAATGTCAAAGAAAAGGTCAACGCCAATGTCAAGGTCGAGCTTTAGGTCAATGTCAAAGTTAATTTCAAAGTCAAAGACAAAGTCAAGGTCAAGGTCAAGGTAAATACAAAGGTTAATATATAAATAGATGTCAAAATAAAGGTCAAGGTCGAGACCAAGGTCAAGGTCAACGTAAAGGTCAACACCAATGTCAAGGTCGAGAACAACGTCAAGCTCAATTTCAAGGTCAAATTCAAGGTCAAACTCAAGGCAATTATCACAGTGGTAGTCATGGTCAAGGTCATGGTCATTGCCATGGTCAATGACTTGGTTAAACGTAAAACTCCCTGCTCTACATTTCTGATGCTACAAATAGAGGTATACATTTAGTAAACGGTCGCGTTCGAGACCACCCTTTTCAAACCTTACATTTGTCATAGAAAACGTATTTTTCGAAATATCGCGATGTATCTATACTTTTTGGACACATTGTACAATCTTATTTCCTATTATGAGCCAAATCGAAATTAAGTGCTGGTTGGAAAACCGCGATCTTCACGGCCCCAGCGGTAAAAACTACGCGTCGCGTTGTAAACGAGCCGAATTTGTCAGGACGCTTGAACATCCTAATAATATTCCGAGCGACACCAGCGACATCTACATAATATTCCCGTAAATTCCGACGTTTTGCGATTGGTGTTTTAATATCTCAATTAGGGGCACAATTGCCGGCTGGTAGCCGGTTCGGGTGCGTTTGTAATAATGATTGATATGGGCAATTAAGTCGGTTTCGGCCAGTGTGACCGATAATGGCACGGCCATTGTGCGGATGACTTTGACGTCAGGTTTTGCTTGACGACGGTCCGCAGTGTTCGAATGATCAGATGTGACGAAGGACCAATTCGATTATTTTCGGTAACTGCGATATGAATGAATTAATGGGTGAATGAGGATCAGATACAAGAACATGTAAAAACCTTAGTATATCAACTGTGTATGCCGTAACATCTTCAAAGAAGATAAGCTCTGGTTCAGGAAGGCAGGCAAATTCTAGCGCTTACAAGAAACGTGACTGCCTGATAGTACTCGTAGACCATGCATATGTGTCAATTGGGTATAACCAAAGCTTCTATAGCGTTATAGCAGGTTAGCAGTTAAGCGTTTTAGAATTTTAGAATTTTACAATGTTAGCGCTTTAGCGTCTTGACGACTTAGCGTTTCAGCGTTTTAGCACTTAAGCGTTCTAAAGTTTTAGCGTTTCAACGTCTTAGCGTTTTAGTCTCTTAGCATTTCAACATTTGATCGTTTTAGCGTTTTATCGCTTTGGAGTGTAAGCAATCCGGCATTTTAGCGTTTTAGTGCTTTAGTCTTTTAGCGTTTTAGCATCTTAGTACTTTAGGCTTATAGCATTTTAGCGTTTTAGCATTACTGCGTTTCAGCGTTTTAGCGTCTTAGCGTTTTGGCGTGTAAACATTCCAGCGTTTTAGTGCTTTAGCGTTTAAGCGTTGCAGCGTTTCGAAGTTTAAGTGTTATGACATTTTGCGTTTTAGCGTCTTAGCGACTTAGCATTTTAGTAATTATGCATCTTAGCGCTTTAGCGTTTTAGAACTTCAGCGTTTTAGCACTTTAGCGTTATAGCGTTTTAGCATTACTGCGTTTTAGCGTCTCAGCGTTTTGCCGTGTAAGCATTCCAGCGTTTTAGCGCTTTAGCGTTTAAGCGTTGCAGCATTTCGAAGTTTTAGCGTTATGGCGTTCTAGAATTTTAGCGTTTTGGCGACTGAGAGTCTAAGCGCTTCAGCGTTCGAGCGTTTTACCATTTTAGCGTCTTAGCGTTTTGGCGTGTAAGCATTCCGGCGTATTAGCGTTTTAGTCTTTTTGCGTTTTAGCGTCTGAGCGATTTAGCATTTTAGCGCCTTAGCGATTTAGCATCTCAGCGCTTTAGCGTTTTAGCTCCTTAGCGTTTTAGTACTTTAGCATTATAGCGTTTTAGCATTACTGCGTTTTAGCTTTTTAACGTCTTAGCGTTTTGTCGTGTAAGCATTCCACTATTTTAGCGCTTTAGCGTTGCAGCGTATAAGTTATGGCGATTTAGAAATTTAGCGTTTTGGTGTCTGAGTGTCTAAACGCTTCAGCGTCCGAGCGTTTTAGCATTTTAGCGTCTTAGCGTTTCGGCGTGTAAGCATTTAGCGTTTTAGCGTGTTAGCGTTCTGACGTGTAAGTATTCCGGCGTTTTAGCGTTTTAGCCTTTTTGCGTTTTAGCGTCTTAGCGTTTTAGCATCTTAGCGGTTTAGCGTTTTAGCATTTCAGCGTTTTAGCGTTCTGCGTTTTAGCGTTCTGCGACTTAGCGTTCTGCTTTTAAAGTTTGACCGCTTTATTCTTTTAGTGTTTTACGAGTACCAGCTCCCAAAACGGTTCCTGGTAAAGTAAATTTCACTTTTATAAGCGTTTGGTTTACCGGTTTACGTGTAGCCCTTCATCAGCTTTAAAAAAAGCTCTGATCCCGTTAAAAATATAAATGTAAACCCACATCTAAAGCCATGAGCGGCTTATAATCCACCGTTAGCAGCCACACCCTGCCCAAAAAGCAATAAAACGCTCAAACGACGGCACAGCGGATAAACCGAAGCGGAAACGGCGGCGTTGCGGTAGAAATTTAAGACGCGAATAAAATTTATAAATCAGCAGCAGGTCTCATGCAATTCAATTAAAATATTCAACAAGGCCCATTATTAGCATTTTCTGTGTCTGAAAAGTGGCCGACGCGGCGGCCGAGGAAGCGAAGGCGACGGCAGCGCCATTTCGGACACCCGCGCGGCGGGAGAATTCCTAATTAGCACTGCCATTTAGTGAGCCTCAAGATGTCGAAGCGTTTTGAACCCCTCTAATTATTTTAACTGACTATCGCGACTGAGGTTTCTTGATGCCTGTTCAGATCACAGTAAATGTGGTTATTTGAAAGGAAAGTCTGTTGCCAGTGGGACTTGAATCTACCTATTACCAAAGTACAACGTATTTAATTCTCTAAGAAGCGTTTATTGTACCAGGGTATCGGGGTTACGTATATTTACAAACAAAGGAAAATTAACTCAGCCAACAATTATTTTGGTGTTTGGGCAAGTACTTATAAATGTCAAAAGGCAATTTAGTACTATCTATTGTTGTTATCAGCATGCAGAGCCTTAGTTGCTGAATTAAGCTGCACACGAATCGTCTCGCCAATTTGGGCACAGCTTGCTGAAAGATGCTAATAGAAACAACTTAGTATTGCTAGGGCCAGCATAATTAAACTTCCAACATTGTGCTGATGTGAGTTCGTGGATTTTCATTAGACAACATGCGGAAAAATCCACTGTGAGAGCGCAAGACTCTCTAGATAAAGGTAAAGCAGAGGATAGCTCGTTTGTCGATGTCACAGGAGGTATTTTAATCATGTATGCCTTGACCCTTCCTCTGTCCTTTATAGTGAAAAAAAGCCGCAGCA